TTGGGAGGCAACCCAATTTCATATCCTTTTTTTATTTACATGTTTGTCTTTCATTATGCTTTTATACTTTTATTGTTTGTGGACGATGCAATTCAAGTGTAGGGGGAGAAGCAAAGCAAAGAAATGTGAAGTTTCAAGGCAAATTTTGAACAAAGTGGGCGGAATTAGCAAAGGCGTCGAAACCCGCCCGGCTTTAGCTACAGCCGCCCGACATTTGGTCGCCGAAGGTTAATTCCATTTATTCTGGTCGAAAACCGCCCGGTTTTCCCGAAACCCGCCCGACTTTCAGGTCTGCTTCCCAGGTATTTTCTCGCACACGAAACCCGCCCAGTTTTCGTGGATGTCGCCCGGCTTTTGGGCGCCGAAGGTAATTCCAGTTTAATTAAATCGAAAGTCGCCCGACGTTCGTGTAAGCCGCCCGGCTTACGGGTTCTGGGAACAATCTGTTTAACCGAAAGCCGCCCGGCTTTAGCATATGTCGCCCGGCTTTCGGGGACGAATGTTTTATTACCTGTTCTGTTTAAACACAAACACACGCACACAACGCCCAAAAGATGCCCAACGAACGTGAGAGCTCGAACGACAACCCCCTTTCTTCACGTTTCTTCTCCTCTTTCAAGCTCAAAACAGGTATTTCTCCATCTCCTTCACTTCTTAAACTCAATTTCATAGCTTTTTCTTCATTTAATCGATAGAATTTGTTGTTCTTCCCAAATTTCGAATTTTAGGGTTTATGCAAATTGATAGTTTTTAGGCCTAATTCATTGCATGATATCTTGTTCTTGTTGCCTATATTGCTTGTATGAACCATTTCAACCTCTTTTCAAGTAGTTATTTTCAACAATTTGAAATTTTTGCTATTTGGTCAAAATTGGGGGCTTAGGGTTCGAAATTCTTGTCCAAATTTGGGGATTTTCAATTGTATTCTTGTGATTAATTGTTGTTAGGCAAGGTTGTGTTTATTTTGGTCTTGGTTGTGATGAATTGTGATTAAAGTCAATTTTTAGGGGAAACTTTGTCAAATTTTTAAGAAAATTGATTAGAATTGTTTGAGTTTGTAGGTTCAAATGGCTCCAAAGGGGAAGTCCGTTAGCACCGAGGCTGGCCCGAGCAATCCCAAGCGGGCAAGGAACAACAAGGCACCCGCGGCCTCCTCCACCATCTTGCCTTCTAGCCGGTTTGTCAACACCAAGTGCTATGAACGGTACTTGGAATCTAGGGACAACGATTTCGTTGTTGAGAAGACGGTGTCACAACCTATTGACCACGAGTACCGGCTCACCGAGGCCTTCGCTAATATCGATTGGGAGCCGGTGCTACATCTTGAAGGCACCTTCTACCCGGAGCTCGTCAAGGAATTTTTCGCAAATATCGAAGGAAATAGCCCCCGAAAGATGATTGAGAGCCGGGTCAAAGGGGTAAAAATCACTATCACAAATGACCTATTGAGATCTCAGTTTCGCATCGCCAACCACGGCATCCCTTTCGCCCCTTCCCAAGCCGGAGCAATGAATAGCGACGTTGGCTACAACCCCTTGGATGCGATGCAATATTTCGGCTTGCAAGGACACGAGCTTATGACCAAGAACCTTGGTCAACCACACATCCGGGCCCGGCTTTTGATGTACCTCTACTCATTCAACGTCATGCCGAGAGCAAGTGGCTACAACAAAATTCGAAACGCCGAGCTCTACTTCGCGTATAGGATGCTTGCCGGGCTTGGACGTTGTGAGGGGATTCCTCTATCAAGCATCATCATCAAACAATTGTGGAGCGCGGCTTTGAGCAACAACCAAGATAAGGCCTTCATTTTCCCTATTCTACTTTCTAACATTTTTGAGCATTTTGGTGTTAGCTTTAGAGGGGAAGAAGAACGGGAGACACATGCCGTGCTTGATGATAGTGTCATGATACACCTTCGCTATTTCCAACCGCCGCACGGAGGACCATGGAGGTGCGTGGAGAGATTCCATAGAGTCGTGCCGGAAGAAAATGAAGAAGAGATGATGGAAGGAGGAGAAACCCAAGGTGGAGAGCCCGAGGGAGGCCATGAGGAGCACCATGAGGAGGCGGCTCACGTACCTCAAGCCGGAACTCATTACGACATGGACTATTTGACCGAACAATTCGGTCAAATTCATACGGAGCTTGCGGTTCATCGACGGGATTTGCGGGACCAACGGCGGGCTATTGAAGGCATGGGGAGTCATCTTTGGAACATGAACTACTACTGCCAAGAGTTAGGGCGGCACTTCAGCATTCCACCACCGCCACCTTATGACCCGCACTTTTATTTCCCTCCCCAAGGAGATGGAAATGAAGGGGATGAGTAGGTTATGAAAAGGGAAGTGTACTAAAAATACTAAACTTAAACCACCTTTTCTTTGTTTTTCTTTAAACTCCTTGTGCTACTTTTGTGCCTATTATGTGTTGTTTGATTGCTTATTTTCTTGCTTTGCATTTAATTACTCTTGTGCTTCACATTGGGACAATGTGGAATAAGTGTGGGGGGGTGACTTTATGACTTTATACTTGAAAAAAATTGTGCAAGGTTTTTTGGAAAAAATTGTTCATTTTTGGTCCATATTTTTTGAAAAATATTTTAGCAAAACCCTTGTCCTTCAAACCCTTTTTCAAAAGAAACTTTTCTTAACGTTTTGCCTTAATATTTTCATAGAAAGTTTCGAAATTTGCTTGAGGACAAGCAAAGCTCAAGTGTGGGGGTATTTGATAAGCGTTTTATTAACGTGTTTTACACAATCATTTATAAACGCTTTTATACTTAAAAGAATTAAATCTTCACACATATGCCTCGTTTTGCTAGAAGTTCTTTAAATCAACAAATGGATCAAATGCAAGGATGGTAGAATACACACGAAGAAACCGACGGAAAAAGGTCAACCAAACGCATCCCGAGGAACAAATAAAGACCACAAAAACGCCCAAGACAGACGAAAGCCGCCCGGTTTATGCCAAAGGCGGCCGGCCTTTGGTCCCCAAGCTTATTTTCGCATCCAAAGCTGGAAAATCTGATCCGGAGCAAGAAAGGACGAAAGCCGCCCGGCTTGCGTGAAAACCGGCCGACTTTTGGTCGCCGAAGGAATTGTTCAGAATTTAATTACAAAAACCGCCCGGCTTGTGTAAATGACGGCCGGTTTTCGGGCCCTGGAGCGAAGGCAGACTATTTTAAACGCGCAAAAGCCGCCCGGCTTTTGCGAATGTCGCCCGGTTTTCGTCTGGCACTGATTAAAACAGGCAACGGTCATCACAATCATTCGAGAGAAGCTCCAAACCCCATTAAGGAGCTTGCTTCCTTGTCCAAAAATGGCCGTTGAAGACCCAATATTTAAGCATATGGAAGCCCTCTCAAGTGATTATTCCATATTCCATACACTTTACTTACACTTTAGCACTCCAAGATCAACCCCTTGGTCTTTGGAGAAGTTCTACACTTGGGGATCCCATTGTCCACCATAGCTTTGGAGTTGTGGTATTATCTTCTTATGTATTTCATTGTATTTCATCAATTCAATACTTGTAATTTCATTATGAGTTGCTCTAGCTAATTTTCCATAGCCAAGGTTAGGGATGAAACTTTACGCATTCTAGGTGTTTGATGTATGTTCTCAACCAAATTATTATGATCTCTCCTTTATATTTTAATGTGTATGACTACGGTGTACAACGTATGATTATATCGTTGGGTTTATTTGAGCAATTAACGTTGAGTTATAAACCGTGCACTTAAAGGCTAGACATATTCTAATTGTGGATAGAAATATACCTCAATTGAATATGGTGGTTGTAATAATGTCCTAATCTTCAATGGGGTTAATTTTAGATGAATGTGAACCGTGACGGGATTCACACGTAGAATTAATCACAATCTCGCTGCCGTAACAGGAGTTAGAATACTTTAGCGACATTCCACTCATAAGAATTGGTGAAAGAATATACATTAATCGCTAGGAGTCGTTTAGGAGTAATCCCGAACCCTTGGTTGCTTTTATTACCACTTGAAAAACCAAAAAATCTTTACTCTTTTACCAAGTCTTTTACAAATTATATTCTCAATTTTTTAATCATATAAACAACGTTTCCTCGTGTTCGACTCGGTATTTTTACCGGATTTTATTACTACATCGGCACTTGTACACTTGCAAGTTTAAGCCGATCAGGGTCGTGTTTCCCTAAAAGGTCTTAGAATGGTGCCTTAGCCGCATCAATCCACAATTCAAAACACAATGTGATTTTCAATTATGTTCTTAGAGTTCTCCACAAAATCTTGATATCGAGTGGTATCCACTCTTCCAATTAATTACATAGTATTCTTAGTGATATATTAAAAAATATTAGGCGTCCAGTCAGTAACTTTGTTCTATAAATTTGAAATTTGTAAAGAAAAAGAGAAATTGAATAGAAGAATCATTCAAGGACATTATTTATGTCGATATTTTGAGTGCTTTATTTGTGAATTACTCCGTAGTATCTTTATTTAATTATTGTGAAAAACAATAATCCATATGTACCTTATTATAAACTTAGTGTTGAAGAGGGTGGTATTGCTTTAAAAAAGTTTTCTTTTCGACTAAAATTTGCTGGTCTAGTCTGTTCTGATCTGGTCTGATTTGATAAATATCTTGTCTCCGTATATTTTATAACTGTTCCAGTCTGATTTGGTGTTATCTTTTTAGGTCTAATTTGATCTGATTTGATCTGTTTAAATTTGGTCTGATCTGATCTAGTCTGATATAAAACTAAAAACAATCCAAACGAAAATATCCTAACTGCGTTGATCTACCGTGTTCGACTTGACGTGTGACCCGGTCGCTTTATAGTCCCATTTTTTGGAAAAAAAAAAATTGAAAGGTTTTAAGAGAAAGATTTGAACGGGTGATGGATCGTCAGCACTTGTAGAGAGTGACCAATATTTGGGCTTTAGATAGGCGTGGGATTTATATAAGCCCAAAATCAACTCATTAACAAACATGAATAAAATACAAATTCCGGGTTGTACGAGGTATACTAACTGTCCAACTGCAACGTACGGTTCGTATAAATCGCTAATTGCTTTCAGAAAGGGTCAGAGTTGTCCGATCTTAACTGAAGTAGAAACTATTCCATTAGATCATCTTTTGGAGTCATCAACAGATCAGCTGCCGTTGAGATCAGCAATAGTCGGAACACTTTCTTATAAAGGGTTTCTTCCACCGGCGATGGAAGGCGGTGCGGAAGGGATGCTTCCGTTCGGTTGGCGGTTCTTAAAGGTCATGTTTCCCGGTTTTCAGACTAAACTGGTATGATCCTTGTTTCAAATCAATCGCTTCTACTTAATTAATCTTTTATTCAAATCAAATTTTAAGGATTCTTGATCTTCTTCAAAATCTTTGTTTTCCCCTCTTTTGCCCACTGACTTTGCCAATATTTCATTCTTTTCATTGTGTCTTAATCATAAACAGATAAACTTTAAATTCAGAATTAGAATAGATGGTTCCATGACCTCCATCCAGACAAAGATTGGATCTTTCATAATTCCTCATCTTTTTTGTTTGGAGAATTGGTTTTGCTATTCCTTTTATTTATTAGAATAAGACCCCATAATTTGTGCCATTGAACAAAATAAGTTGGTAGATTGAGTTATACTCCGTATAACTCTTCCTTCCAAAACAACTCAACAAGTATGGAGTAACTTTGTTCTCCGTATGAATTATATGACAGTTTTTCTTCTTATTGTGAAAAGCAGACTCTGCCGCCCTTGGTTTGTGAAAAACTTAATGGAGAAAAGTCATCAAAAGCAACTTTAGTTACTGTAAAGGGTTCATGGGATGTGGAGATAGAAAATGGTGACCAAGGAAACCTTTGTTTTGGGAAGGGGTGGGATGCATTTGTCATGAACCATGGAATAAGAGTAGAAGATTTTGCAGTATTTGAATACACAGGTGGAATTTGCTTTAATGTTTCATTGCTAGACAAAAATGGCAATGAGAAAAAGATGGATTCTATCAGGCCAGGAGAGCAAGATGATCAGAAGATAGATTCTCCTAAACCCAACCCAATAAAAAAAGAGCACATTGAGCTTTCTGCTGTGAAGGTGGAGAGGGATGAAGAGATTATTACTTCTCAACTCAATTCTCGTCTTGCTCCACTTTTGCAAATATTGGCTGAGATGGACAATGATGATTTCACTTCATATGATGGAGAGAAAGGACCGCCTCCAAACACTACCCTATCTGGTAATTCGGTTAATAGGGAACTTATCCCTTTTCAAGTTGATGATGTCAAACCAATAGCCCAAATAAAACCTCAGAATAATGACATAAAAAGCAGTTCTACAAAGCGGAAAAGGGAGGACAGTGCGAAAAAAGTGGGCATTAAAAGTAAGTTGTGGCTATCCTTTTTTTTTTTTGTAAATACTAAATAATGCCACTAAAATTTTCAATTTTATTTTATAATTAATGCATTGTTTTACTTCATAATAATATTTTTGTTGCACCCGAGACTAATTTGATTCTCTACCTTGAGAGAAAATGTGAGCTATAATTCTTTTTCATATAGTTTTTAGTTTATTCGTTGTTGTAATGAAGTTCCAATGTTTTGTAGGGAAAAGACCACCCAAAGTGAACACATCTTCTCCTGAGCAAAATCTGCAATTTTCATCAGTAATGAAGTCATACCATCTCCGTCGTCGATCTCCTTATATGGTAAGCTTTTGAATCTCAACTCTGAACACTTTTAGTTTTAGAAGGGCTGGGGGGAGACTTTTAGTCATTATTCTTGATGTACACGTGAGATTTAATAAAGTTAATTAGTTTTTAACATAATACGCAGTCATATAACATGTAATACATTTTTAGGAACATTTGGCTTGTCAAGATATAGATTAAACCCTTCAAATACTTCCCCTCCAAACAAACCCTTAAGAATTCATTTGTTCATTACAAATTCAAACATAAACTGTCCCGTTTCCCCCCAAAGAACGGAGCTTTTGCTGCTTCTTTTCTTATGCTAATAGTATATTTCTTAAACCTGGATTTCAGCATGTCCCTGCAGTGTTTTGTGTGGCAAATAATCTATATCAAAACGCAAGACTAACTCTGAAAGGCCCAATAGTTGAGGAAGAAGTCAGCCTTAGGGTTTGCAATGGAGGGAACACCAAATATGCAGTCATCACTAGGGGTTGGCCAGAGTTCATTGCAGGAAACAAACTCAGAGAGGGAGACACCTGCATCTTCAAACTGCAGTGTGCTGGAACTAGTTCAGCTGGTGCTGTGTTGGATGTTGAGGTTGTCCCGGCATAATTCTAGGGTTAGATGGTACTTTACCCGAATGTATATACACCGACGGACTAATCTGGTTCACTTAATATTGCCAGTTTTTTGGGATACTAATTTAGAAAATTATATTTGTGTTATAGAATGCCAACTTTTCAAGGCTGGTTTTACAATATGCTGTCCCAATTTGAGGTCTCTTATTTGGTATGCATGGCATGTATAGAGAAGTTCAGTGTTCTACTAAACAAAATTTGAGAGAGATTGAGAGAAGAGTGAAAGTGATTGAGACGGAGGGAGTATTCTTTTTACAAAGTTCCCTTTTTGTCATCCCAAAGTGAATTTCAATTTTCTCTTTTTTTGGGTAAAGAATGTATAGTTCACTTTACACATTTTCTGAACAACTCTCCACCACATAATTTAGGGACGAAGAGAGCATTGTTTTTACGGACTCACACTAATACTTTTTTCTTTCTAGACCCCTATTTGTTACGACATTAACAAATCGATATATTGGATGATAAATAGACGTTTAAATTCTTAATGAGAACTATTATGTATTTTGTTTTGTAGAATACATGATCAATAATACTTTATTACTCCCTCCGTCCCTTTAGAAGGTTCCCGTTATGGTTTACGATGTTTGACTGACGATAAAACAACTTAATCCGTGTTCACACTCTGATTATTTTTAGTAAATAAAATTTATATATTAAGAACCTACATTAAAACCGCCACAAAGCTTGATAAAGAAATTTAAATTTAATAAAAATTTGATAAATAAAAAAAAAAATTAAAAGTGATTTAAGTTGACCATGTGAATAGTGTACGAGAACCTTCTAATGAGACAAAGGTAGTACTTAATATCTACGTAGTACATATATGTTTGGTACAGATTGGTACCAAATACAACACATGAGACATAGAAATTGCATTTTTATCTATATTTTAGCATTAATATGATAACTAATATTGTATTCTTATGTGTATAAATACATATATATATACATACATTAATAAACATGAATGATAGAATTATCACATGTAATCATACGTAGTACGTATGATTACAATTAATAACCGGGGCTAAAAGTCACATACATTAATAACTAATTAGAAATAAAGACTAGAATAAGACCCTCGACTTTTAGGTTTACAAAAATGGGACTAATTCTAATTTGGACAAAAATCAGACATATGTACGGCCCTCTTCTACGAATCGTCTCCCATCTCCATATACCGCACTTCTCCATTTCTCAGAGCTATGGCGCTATGGATTGATTTGAGCTGGGAGGCGAGCTAGGCCATCGGCGATTCCGAGCTGCTAGGCGAGCGGAGACAACTATGGCGAGGAGCGACTGCAATGGCGACGGTGATGGCGAGGGCCGTCGGTGAGCGGCGGCGTCGAACGTCAACTTTGTTCAACCTGTCTCTTCTCCTTCTATTTCTGTTCGAGCGCCAGCTAGAGCGGCGAGCAACGGCGGGATAAATTTTTACGGTTAGTGTTGCAAGGCGGTGGTCTGGTGGTTGGGCAGATCTGGCTAGGGTTGGGTAGATTCGCTGTAGATCTGTCTGGCCGTTGAAAGAGGGTTGCGAAAGGTGCTGGAGATGGGGGCAAGGGATGTGGAGGGGCTGTGGCAGGGGAGGGAGCTCAGGAGGACATGGTCAGGGCGGTGGTTGTAGTATCGACGGTGGTTAGGGGTGGTGGTGGTCGGAATCAATCAGGGCAGTGGTCGGAATCATTCAGGGCGGAGGTGGTCGGAATCAGTCAGGGTGGTGGTGGTCAGAATCAGTATGGACGGTGGTGGTCGGAACGGGTTGGGGCTGTGGCGGTCAGAATCAGTCAGGGCGGTGGTGGCCGGAACTGGTTGGAACTGTGGTGGTCGCACCGGTGGAGGTCACCGGCCGAGTTGGTCACAGTCGGATTGGTCACAGTCGGATCCGTGTTATTGGGTCGGGTAACTGTAATTGGTCGATCCGGGCAACTGTAACTAGACGGGTTATGTAACTGTAACTATAATCAGGCGGGTCGGGTAACTGTAACTGGACGAGTTATGTAACTGTAACTATAATCAGGCGGGTCAGGTAACTGTAACTGGACAGGTCGGGTAACTGTAACTGGACGGGTCGGGTAAGTGTAACTGGATGAATCATGTAACTGTAACTGGACGGATCGAGTAACTGTAACCGGATGAGTCGGGTAACTGTAACTGTACGGGCAGACGTTGGTCACTAGACGAGTGAATGTTTGTCACTTGGTCACTAATAATTTTTTGTCACTGGAGGATTTTGGTCATTGACGGATTTTTGGATTTTTGGTCACAAATGATTTTTGGTCACTGGGTGGATTGGTCATGGTCACTAGTCAGATTGGTCACTGGACGGGTTGACGCTAGTAACTAGGTAAAAAATTTGGTCACTAATGATTTTGGTAACTGACGGATTTTTGGAATTTTGGTCACAAATGATTTTTGGTCACTGGGTGGATTGGTCATGGTTACTAGTCGGATTGGTCACTGGACGGGTTGACGTTGGTAACTAGGTAGAATTTTTTGTCACTAATGATTTTGGTCACTGACGGATTTTTGGATTTTTGGTCACAAATGATTTTTGGTCAGTGACGAATTTTGGTCACGATAATGGTTTTGGTCACAAATGATTTTTGGTCAGTGACGAATTTTGGTCACGATAATGGTTTTGGTCACTGTGGCGTTATTGTAGACTAATGGGTGAGATTCTATTAAAATAAGGGTATAATAGTCTCTTAACCCATTGTTAGTCTCATTTTTGGTAAATTGAAATAAAGGTCTCTTTTTTGTTCATAGCTCTTTTTTTAGTATTATTTTAGACATAACCCCAACTAATTAATATGTTAGACATTTAATCAATTTGTTTTTCAAAGTCACATACATTAACAAATTATTTATATACCTAAATCAATATGGGCTAAAAGTCACATACATTAACAAATTATTTATATTACTTTGTGACTTTTATACTTTGCACTAATGTAGTTTGTTAATATGTTAAAACGTCTATTTATCATCCAGTTTATCGATTTATTAATGTCGTAACAAATAGGGGTGTAGAAAGAAAAAAGTATTAGTGTGAGTCCGTAAAAACAATGCTCTCTCCGTCCCTAGATTAAGTGGTGTAGAGTTGTTTAGAAAATGTGTAAAGTGAACTATACATTCTTTACCAAAAAAAGAGAAAATTGAAATTCACTTTGGGATGACAAAAAGGGAACTTTGTAAAAAGAATACTCCCTCCGTCCCAATCACTTGCACTCTTCTCTCAATCTCTCTCAAATTTTGTTTAGTAGAACACTGAACTTCTCTATATATGTTGATGCATACATGCCATGCATACCAAATAAGAGACTCCAAATTGGGACAACATATTGTAAAAAAAGTTAGCATTCTAATTTGAGCACAAATTATTGTAATACCAAGTTAACATACCAAACGATTTATTTGCATAACTTATAAAATTATCTTGGCACAAATTTTGTCCCGTGCCTTCTGAAAATGTTCATGTAATGTAGGCCTAAAAGTTGCAATTTTAGGCCTCTTTCATTTGAGCTATTTTCGAGTCGAATTTTTTGATGAAATTTGGTGAGAATGTTCCAATGGAATGTAGATTATGTCCACCAAATTGCAGATTAAAATTCAATCGGGAAGTTAGTTAAATAAATTGTTAAAAATTGTATAAATTTTAGACCTAAAAATGCAGTTTTTTGAATAATTTATTTGACTAAATTCATGATTTAATTTTAATCTGAACTTTAGTGAACATAACATACACTTTAGGAAGAACATGATCATCAAATTTCATCAAAACATTCCACTCAGAAGCACCTCAGATTCCATAAAAATGTCCCATTTCCATCATGACGTCCTGACCCAGACCCTCGTGCGGAGAACACCATCAGATTGTCTTCCTGGTGGAATTTTTTTGATGATTTTTTTTGAAAATGTTCCTCATCAAGTCTAGTTTATTCATACCAAATTTAAGCTTAAAATTTTATCGGGAAGATAGTTAAACAAATTTATGAAACATACTGCATTTTATATATGTATAAAAAGTGCTATAAGAGAAGAGCCGCCACTTCAAGCGGTGGCTTTTCTTAACCACGGTTAACCCAGCAGTATTTTGGAAATTACTTTTAACCCAGTAGTACTTTGGGAATTATTTATTTAATTAGCATTATTTCGGTAAAAATCTCTTATTATTCATTTTTTTTCAATTTATGTTTTATGAAAATTACATTGATTGGAAATACCTAAAAAAACACAATTACCCCAGAAAAAACACAATATCCCGTGCATCGCACGAGTACTATACTAGTTCATTCCTAAATCTCTTTTTAACTCCGAGATTAGAGAGGCTCATTATGATCACATCCATACACAACGGGTGACAACGTTATTAAAAAAGTAAAATAAAATAAATCAGCTATACATCCGTAATGAGCCGACAGAAAAAAATTCATACCTTATATTCCTCCAGTCCCACAATTAAAGTCACAATATGATTTTACGATTTCTTAGACGAACGTTTAATCGTAATTGTCTAAAAACATATACCTACATGTAATAATTTGATTACCTACATGTAATAAATATTACAATGAAGCACAAAAAAATGTTTTTTTGTAATAAAAAAATATTAATTGTAATTAATTGAGCGATCAAAGTTTAATAAGTTTGACTCAATTGTCAAACTTTAATAAGTGAATCTTGTATCCCTCATTTGTAATCATGTAATGCTGGGTCATTTCGTGCTCTCCCCCAAACATGAAACATGGTTGAGATCTGCCGATCTGGAGTCTTCGCCGGCCACGAACCAGCTTTGAAACGGTAGAAGACCAACTAATGGCGCCATCACTAGGAGCTGGTCAGATCAGAAATTAAAATGCATTTTGTGCATCGTCTAAACGCCACAGTATCTTCTTGAGGTTGTATCCATGAAATGAAATCTATACAACATATAATTAGAGCATCATAGCAATGGTCTGGTACTAATTTTGATTCAGGAATCTGAGTTGGATTGGATTGAAAGTAATTATACTAGGCTTAAATATTAGTGGAGTAAGTTAATTATAAAAAATGAAAAAATTTACACTTGAAGAAAAATTAAGTTATGCTCTTACATACATACGAATCAGGAGAGTGGAACTGTGGAACTATTAAAGCTGGAAGTTGGGTAAGTTCTACCCCTTCGGCCAATGTTAATGAAGCTTGAGTTAGAAATAAAAAATAGAACATGTGAAATCAAAGGCTAGGGTAGTTTTAAACGGTGATGTAGACATACAATGATAGAAAGAAGAATTCACTGTCAAGGAATTGTAGGAGCAATGTTAACTTTAATAATATTGCATTGGAGAAAAACTTAGTACCTAGAAATTAAGGATATTTGCATCGGAGAGCTCCAAGGGATTATATGATAATATGAGCAAATTAAACCAAATGAGGCTCCAAAGGTTTAGAGTTGGCTCAAATTAGCTGATAACGTATTCATGTACGGAGTATATGATAAATATATGCATGTCTATCAAACAGGCACACACACACATTAATATATACATACTAAGTACTCCGTATAAGTTTAATTTATATTGCTCTGTTGTAAACTTGTAAAATGTCTTTTACTGTTTAATATACTATCACAATTAATATAGATGATCTTTCCATGATCAGGATTTCATGAAAAACTGAGCACTATTAATGCATGCTTTCTGTTATTGTCCACTGGGTAAACTCTTTTTTCTCCAAATGATATTAAGTTAAGAAGGAATCAAACCCAAGAAGACAGAACTTTCACAAAAAAGGGAAAGAAGGAAAAAGCAGAGACTTGTTTATAGGACTCAGTACAATGCAGTATCTCTGCCCGTATCCTGGTAATTATGAGCTGTACTTTGAGGTCTGGACTCTTGTTTCCTGTGCTGTGTTTGTTTCTCTACGAAAAAGAAGAAAAGGAAACAAGAAAACTCTCTTTTTCGTTGGACTTGAGCGTATTCTACACCAAATTGCTCTCGAGACCAGAGAATCTTTGCAAGCTCTCTCTTTTAAAATGGAAGCCAAGGTGCCCAGATTCTTCATGGTGTTGCCTCCTGGTTTTGAAGCCAGACTGGTATTCTCTTTCTTTCTCTATTGCACATTTCTTCTTCATCTCTTGTTTATTGAAAGTTTCCTACTGCTAGATGACCTAGATCCTTTTTTTGTGGAATTTTTTTAATGGTGCAGAGGCTTCCACCGATTATATCATGGAAACTGGGTGAAAAGAAGGCACAAAAAGTTTTGTTAATAACAGGAAAGGGAACCTCTCCGGTCACAATCCAGAAGTTTCAAGATGGGAGGCTATGGTTCACCAAGGGGTGGCATGCTTTTGTCCTCAAACATGGCCTTGTTGCTGGAGACTATATCACTTTTAAATACATGGGTAGCTCTAATTTCAAAGTCACAGTTTATAGTGAGACCTGCTGTGAGAAGTTTTTCATTGATGAACCTAAGGCAGAAGTTAAGGGTCAGTGACTATGTTCTTGTGTATATATTTTATCTCAGTCTTGGATAAACTTTATTGCCCTGACCCACTAACTAACTGTGAAACAGCTGAAACGTGGAAGAAAAACGCCAGCCCATTGGTGGAGTCTGAAGCTGAAGAAGTGCCTCCCCCGCCTCCTTCTCCTACCCAACACCATTTTCATATGAATGATGGTTCAAATTCCAGGGAGGGACTCAATGGGAGTAAGTTTAATTCTGTAAATCTTTTCAATAACTGCATTAGGTGTTGAAAAATCTGGTTAGGACTATTTGTTACAAAATCTGCAATTCTTTCCAGCAATGGCTTTGATATAGGCTTTGCACTTGGGGTGGAATTAGTCCCTTTTATTGCTGTCTCCCTTTTCAGCCTTAACTGAATTAGAAACTATTCCATTAGATCATCTTTTGGAGGCATCAACAGATCAGCTTCCGTTCGGTTGGCGGTTCTTAAAGGTCATGTTTCCCGGTTTTCAGACTCAACTGGTACATTCCTTGCCTCTAATCAATTGCATCTACTTAATTAATCTTTTATTCAATTTTTCACTCTTTTGCCCCCTGACTTTGCCAATATTTAATTCTTTTCATGATGTCTTAAATCTTAATCATAAACAGATAAGTTTTAAACTTGGAATTGGAATAAGAATGGTTCCATAACTTCCATCCAGACAAAGATGGGATCTTTCCTAATTCCTACTCTTTTTTGTTTGGAGCATTGGTTTTACTATTCCTTTTATTTATTAGTATAAGACCCCATAATTTTTGCCATAGAACAAAAGCAGTTGGCAGATTTAGTTATAGAACTCTTCCTTCCAAAACAACTCAACAAATACGGAGTAATTTTGTAAAAATTAAATAACTGGTTTTCTTCTTATTGTATAAAGCAGACTCTGCCGCCCTTGGTTTGTGAAAAACTTAATGGAGAGAAGTCACCAATAGCAACGTTAGTTACTGCAAAGGGTTCATGGGATGTGGAGATAGAAAATGGTGACCAGGGAAACCTTTGTTTTGGGAAGGGGTGGGATGCATTTGTCAGGAACCATGGATTAAGAGTGGGAGATTTTGCAGTATTTGAATACATAGGTGGAATTTGCTTTAATGTTTCATTGCTAGACAAAAATGGCAATGAGAAAGAGATGGATTCTGTCAGGCCAGGAGAGGAAGATGATCAGAAGATAGATTCAAATAAACCCAACCCAATCAATAAAGAGAGCTTTGAGCTTTCTGCTGTGAAGGTGAAAAGGGATGAAGATATTATCACTTCTCAACTCAATTCTCGTCTTGCTCCACTTTTGCAAATATTGGCTGAGATGGACAATGATGATTTCACTTCCTATGATGGAGAGCAAGGACCGCCTCCAAACACTACTCCTTCTGGTAATTCAGTTAATATGGAACTTATCCCTTTTCAAGTTGATGATGTCAAACCAATTTCCCAAATAAAAACTCAGAATAATGACATAAAAAGTGGTTCAACAAAGCGGAAATGGGAGGACGGTGCGAAAAAAGTGGACTTCAAAAGTAAGTTGTGGCTATCCTTTTTTATTGTTGTAAATACTGCATAGTGCCACTAAAATTTTCAATTTTATTTGTATAATTAATGCATGGTTTTACTTCATAATAATATTTCTGTTGCACCCGAGACAAATTTGATTCTCTACCCTGAGAGAAAATGTGAGCTATATTTTGTTTCATAAAGTTTTTTGTTTATTTATTGTTGTAATGAAGTTCCAATGCTTGGTAGGGAAAAGAGCTCCTAAAGTGAACACATCTTCTCCTGAACAAAATCCGCAATTTTCATCAATAATGAAGTCATACCACCTCCGTCGTCGATCTCCTTTTATGGTAAGGATTTGAATCTCAACTCTGAGCTCTTTTTGAAGGTTTGGAGGGGAAGACTTTTAGGCTTCATTCTTGGTCTACATGTGAGATTTAATGAAGTTAATAAATTTTTAACATGATATGCAGTCATATAACATCTAATACATTTTTAGGAACATTTGGCTGGTCAAGATATAGATTAAACCCTTCAAATACTTCCCCTCCAAACATACCCTTCAGAATTCATTTGTTCATAACAAACTCAAACATGAATTGTCTCATTTCCCCTCAAAGAACAGACCTTTTGCTGCTTTTTTTTTCTTATACTAATACCACGTAATATATTTCTTGATCCTGGATTTCAGCATATTCCTGCAGTATTTTGTGTGGCTAACAATCTATATCAAAATGCAAGACTGACTTTGAGAGGCCCAATAGTTGAGCAAGAAGTCAGCCTTAGGGTTTGCAATGGAGGGAACACCAAATATGCAGTCATCACTAATGGTTGGCGGGAGTTCATTGCAGGAAACAAACTCAGAAAGGGAGACACCTGCATCTTCAAACTGCAGTGTGCTGGAACTAGTTCAGCTGGTGCTCTGTGGGATGTTGAGGTTGTTCCTGCATAATTCTAGGGTTGGATGGTTAACATTGCCAGTTTCTTGGGATACTGATTTAGGAAATTATATTTTTCTTTTAGACTTTTAGTTAATGCTAACTTTTCAAGGCTGGTTTTACAATATGCTGTCCCAATTTGAACTCTCTTATTTGGTATGCTTGACATGTATGCTCTACATATATAGAGAAGTTGAGTCTTCTAAACAGAAATTAAGAGAGATTGAGAGAAGAGTGAAAGTGATTGAATGGAGAGAGAGAAATGAAGCAAATAATAAAGGGAAACTGAGACTTGGCCCTATGTGCCTTGGCCTTCTTCATTATTTACTGAGACTTGGGCCTTAATAATTTTGGTTACCACCCAGCCCACCTGTTCCTTTCTTGGCCCATTTCCTTTGTGTCTCGGTCCTTACCTGCTTTACCCTACTTACCTTGTTGGGCTTGCTTGACCCGGCTACTTATACCCTTTGTCCGCCTTCCCCCTTTGAGCGAGCCGCATATGTGTAACCCTAGTTCTAGAGCCTTTTGTTTAGAGAGAGAGTGTCTTGCTTCTCTCTAGCCGGTCTCCTTCTCCCGCTCCTCTCTTCACCTCCTTCGTGTGTGTGTGTGTGTGCTCTGTGGGATCTAGGGAGAGGTTCGAGAGGGTAGCTGGGTTCGGGTTTTGATTCTGGTGCCTTTGGTGGCGGCTCCCATTCCGGTAGGTCCTTGTGGTGGTTGTGAGTTGTTCCAGAACCTTCAGGTTCATGTGGCTAGAGACCTGAGCTGGAAGATCTAAAAGCCTTACACAACAAGTAATAAAAATGACGTTGCCTATTTGAGTATAAGTAGAGAGATATTACTAAAGAATAGTTGATATTACCGTGACCGTGAGTTTGGTGAACCGCCGCAATATTCTTTTTGCATTAGAGTCTTGGTATGGGTGGACCACGAGAGTAATACAATAGTAATATCAAAATGAATTATGACTTTAAGGAATTAATTTGTTAAATCTAATGATTATTAAACACTTAACAAACATATAAGGCATAATAATTTCTAAGCAATATAATAAGTACCACATATAATACGTACTTTACGTGTATTATACGTTTTATTCTCATAGCACGCGAATTTTTCAGAATTTTCTGAAAACCCCCAGAAAAATTATACTTCTATTATAGTTAACTTATACGCGAATAACTAACAAGCCAAAAAAAACCTAGCAGTGGCGCTCCAAGTATGGCCTCCGTCAATTGGCAACCTTGAAGGAATACCACGGCGACCCACTTGGCTTGGTTAGGTACACAGTTTTTGTCTCTCTTCTGGACTTGATCAAGGTGATATCAGTTTTTGGAGATTCTTGGTAGGAGTATGATTCAACCAGACTATTCTTCTTTTCTGGTTGTGTTTGTACTGTGATATGACGGTTCTTTCCCGGGCACTGGTGCTCCATGTTTTTTGTCTCCCTCGCTGTGGGGATTTTGGTGTCCCGATCAGCTTCATCTTATCGGGAGGTTCTGTCAGTCTTCTTTTAGGCTGCATAGAAAATGACATAGCTCGTCCTCCTTTAGAACCACCTCTGTGTCAGGAATAGTTTTGTGGAAAGACTTTATTTCATTTTTATATTTTCTTTAGCAATACTTTTTATTTTATTTTATTCTGTGTAGGTTTGAGTTGGATATTTGGATTTCTAGAGTACTTTTGATTGACATTATTTCAGTTCCAATTGTTTGGGCTTCAATTTGTCTGTTTTTGTGTTTAGTGAATCTGGTTATTATGTATGAGATGACTAATTCTAAGTCTATTCCTGGGATTTACGATAGATTCTGTCATAACTGTTTGGAGGATGTCTTTTTCTGGATATTATTATAAAAAACGGTTCTTTTATACTCCCCCCGTCCCAAAATGATTGACCAAATTTCTTTTTTTGGCCGTCCCAAAAAGGTTGATCATTTCCATTTAAAGTTACGAATATGCGTTTAAAGTTAATTCTCTCTCCTCTGCACAAATTTCAACTACACAGTTTTTACTTTACTAATCCACATGCAGTCAAGATTGGCCATGGGACGGAGGAAGTATTAAAAAAAACTAACAAGCCAGCGGAAACAAGTCCATCATATCTAGACCTGTCAATGGGTCGGGTCCGGGCCGGAACGTAGTGTTCCAGACCCGGACCCGCTAAGTAAACAAAGGACTCGGACCCGACCCGTTTACCCGGCGGGTCTAAAAATTTGGACCTGTACCCGGACCCAACGGGTCTCGGAACCGGGTCGGGTAGACCCGCCAAGTATCATATGCACAACATTATATAATTTTTTAAAAAATAGCAAAACATGTATATGAAATGTAAATTAAAGTGCACAAAATGTTAGGACTTTGTGTCTAAAAAATCACACTTTGTGTCTCTTTCTCTCCCACAGAAAACTCGTATATTAGACTAGAAATTAAGTCACAAAATGTTCTGTTGGACTAAAAGCATATTATATGCTATTATATTATCACTTAAACATTGGGTATGTATTAATTTGTACTACTAATTACTTTATATACTCGTAGATTAGTTTGTATTTTTATTTGAAGTATTATAACTAATCTCTTTATGTATTAGTGTGTGTATATATATATATATACACACACAAATGTTCCTGTCAGGTATACCTGACAGGAACCGCCGTCCGGCCTCCTCCTTTTGGGGGCCTTCCCGGTGATATTTTTTGCTCAAATTTTTTGTGTATGTTTCTCATCAAGTCTAGTTCATCCATACCAAATTTCAGCAAAAAATTCAATCGGGAATGTCGTCAAATGATTTTTGCAAGTTAACTGGTCCGGAAAATACATATTCCAGACCAGTTAACTTGCAAAAATCATTTGACGACCTTCCCGATTGAATTTTTTGATGAAATTTGGTATGGATGAACTAGACTTGATGAGGAACATACACAAAAAATGTGAGCAAAAAATACCACCGGGAAGGCCCCCAAAAGGAGGAGGCCGGACGGCGGCTCCGGTCAGGTATACCTGACCGGAAGATTACTACTCTCTCTCTCTCTATATATATATATATATATATATATATATATAGGGTAAGGTTCAAGTGAGAAGAACCCTTTGGGTGAGAAATGAGAATGAATCTCAACCATTGGATTCGACTAAGTTGCAGTAAAAGACACTTCATGATGATGAATCTCAACCATTGGATTCGACTAAGTTGCAGTAAAAGACACTTCATGATGCACTGAAATATGCAATCTAGCATGGTGGCATTTCTGTAAATACTTCTGAAAAATCCGTATTACACGTGTCTAGTGCAACATGAAGCTATTTCGGTGGATCGCCGTCAAATATTAGTGCAACATGAAACAGTTTTAGTGCAACACGTGCAAAATTTAAATATTACTGCAACATAAAGCCAATTTTATTGCAACTTTGTAAATCCAATGGCTGAGATTCATTCTCATTTCTCACATTAGATGCATTTCTCACCTGAACCAAAATATATATATATATATATGTATATACTAATAAGAAATTTTAAACGGGTCCGGGTCCTTAACGGGTCGGAATCATATGTACCATATCCGACCCGTTTATTAAAAGTACTAATGGGTCCGGGTTCGGGTAAACGGAATAAAATAAGGACCCATACCCGTTAAAAACAATCGGGTCCGGGTCGGGTCCGGGTCTAGACCGGACCCATTGACAGGCCTAAATTCATATCCCTCGCTTCTTCACTTCTAATGTTGGAATGTTGGGTTCAATTTGTACTTCCCTGGAAACATAGTTGATAGTTGTAGACCTGAGTCTTAGGCTGCAATGAACCAGCAAAGATCATCTTCAATGTCGTCCTTACATTTTGATGCAGATCATTTGACAAGTGATCCCTATCAAAATGAAAGAATAGCTTTGAAAAGGTGGAACGCCAACTATGACGCCATTACTAGGAGCTGGTGCGATCAGAAACCTAGGTAAAATGCTTTTTGTACAATGTCCAAACGCCACAGTATCTTCGTGAGGTTCATTTCTTTGTCACTGATTTATAAGCAGTATGAATTAATATTTTAGCTCTATTTTGTTTTCTCAAGATTTATTTGGCAAATTAATTCCTACAGTGCCCCAATTTCAACTCATTTTTTTGGTATCCATGAAATGGAATCTATACAATACGGAGTATATAAATAGAGCTTCAGAGCAATGGTCGGTTACCATTTCAAAATTTCTCCCCTTAATTACCCCCCATTTAGGAGAGTGGAACTGTGAAACTAATAAAAAGCTGGATGTTGGGGAAGTCTACCCCTTCGGCCCCTGTTAATGAAGCTTGAGTTTGAAATAAAAGATGGAACATGCTAAATCAAAGACTAGGGTAGTTTCAAATGGTGATGTACGCATGCAAAGAAGAATTCACTGACAAGGAAATGTAGGAGCAATATTAAACGGAGTATCCCTATAATTTATAGAGAAAAAAAATAGTACCTAGAAATTAAGAATAGTTGCAGTGGAGAGTTCCAGGGATAAATCTGTTCGTGAAAACTTATTATTGGTGTATTAATATTTATGTTCAAATTAGCTTATGCAAAGACATATATTGTCCATAATAGAAAAATCTAATTTTGTGTGTCTATTACATATGCACACACTCACACACAAGACGTGCCTATATATATGTATATATGTATATAAAAGTTTAATACATAGTATATATTGCTCTGTGTTGTAATATGTGTCTCAGTCTTTCATATACTCCCTCCGTTCCCAAAAATACTTCCCACTTTTCTTTTTGGGCCGTTCCCAAAAATTCTTCCCACTTTCCCTTTTTGGACAATTTGTGTGGCTCACATTCACTTTACCTTTTTCTCACACAACCACAACCACACAATCCCACTTTATTCCACTTTCTTATTAGGCGTGCCAAGTCAAACCGGGAAGAATTTTTAGGAAGTACTAATTACTAAAGATAATCTTCCCGGTACCAAGATTTCTGCAAAAACTGAGCACTATTAATGCATATTTTCTGTTATCCGCCATTGGGTGTACTCTTTTTCCTCCAAAAGGTATTAAGTTAAGAAGGAATCAAACTCAAGAAAACAGAACTTTGGCAAAAGAGGAAAAAAATAAAAAAGCAGAGATTTGTTCACAGGACTCAGTACATTGTAGTATCTCTGCCCGTATCCTGGTAATTATGTGCTGTATTTCAGGTCTGAACTTTTTTTTCCTGTGCTGTGTTTGTTTCTCTGAAACGAAAAAGAAGAAGAGGAAACAAGAAAATTCTCTTCTTTGTTGGAGTTAAGTGTATGCAAGACTAAATTGCTCTTGAGAGTTGAGACCATAGAATCTGTATTAGCTCTCTCTTTTAAAATGGAACTCAAGGTGCCCAGATTCTTCAAGGTGTTGCTTCCTGGATTTCATGCCAGACTGGTATTCTCTCCCTCTCTATTTTGCTCTTCCTCTTCAACCCTCTTCTTATCAAAATATTCTTATTGTGAAAGCCTATTTTTGCGGAAAATATTTATGGTGCAGAGGCTTCCACCGATAATATCAAGGAAACTGGGGGAAAAGGAAGCAAGAAAAGTTAAGTTGATAACAAAAGAAGGAATCTTTGTGGTCACAATCCAGAAATTACAAGATGGGAGGCTGTGGTTCACCAACGGGTGGCATACTTTTGTCCTCAAACATGGCCTTGTAGCTGGACAATTTATCACTTTTAAACACATGGGTAGCTCTATTTTCAAAGTCAAGGTGTTAAGATTCTTCAAGGTGTTGCTTCCTGGATTTGACTGTCTGGTATTCTCTCTATTTTTTCTCTTCTTCTTCATCCCTTTTTTTAATCAAAATATTCCTACATTGAGAGCCTTTTTTGTGGAAAATATTTAAATGGTGCAGAGGCTTCCACCTATAATGTCATGGAAGCTGGGCGAAAAGGGAGCAAAAAAAGCTGTGCTAATAACTAAAAAGGGAACCTCTGCGGTCACTATCCAGGAATCGCAAGATGGGGGGCTGTGGTTCACCAATGGGTGGCATGCTTTTGTCCTCAAACATGGCCTTGCAGCTGGAGATTTTATCACTTTTAAATGCATGGGTAGCTCTAATTTCAAAGTCACAGTTTATACTCTGACCTGCTGTGAGAAGGATTTCATTGATGAAATTGAGACAGAAGATAAGGGTCAGTGACTATGTTAATGTGTATATATATTTATCTCTGTTCTAGGTAAACTTCTCTGCTCTAACCAACTTTCAAACAGCTGATACGGGGGTGAATAATGCCACACCATCGGTGAAGTCTGAAGCTGAAGAAGTGCCTCCTCATACTCAACATCATTTTCATATGAGTGATGGTTCAGATGCCAGGAAGTTCAATTTCTATGGGAGTAAGTTCAGTTTAGTTTCTTAGGATGAGTCAAGAGTGTAATTATTCTTTAATTCTTTTCAATAATTGCATCGCGGCAGGAAAAAACCTGTTAAGACTTTGTTTTAAATTCTGCAATTCTTTGGAGCAATGGCTCTGATTTAGACTTTGCACTCAGGGGGAATTTACACCTTTGTTTTGCTGCATCCCTTTTCAGCCTCTTAGATAGGCATTGCCAAGAATAATTATTATAACATGAAGGTTGACTTCAGGCCCATTTTTCTTTTAGTGTCCGTTTGAACCCCAGAAAACACTTCAGAGGATATAAGAAGGAAAGCTTATAGGAAAATTAGAAGGAAAGAAAATGTGGGAGGAAATTTAAGAAGGGAATAAAACTCAATCAATTTCTTAGATGTTTGTTGATACTCATTTTAGTTAATTATTTTTATTTATAGATAAAGAGAAATCTAACTAAATGTTTAAAAACTGATAAAATTAATCACAACTTATTCCGTTGGAAGCATTTCTTGTGATCCAACATACCCTCAAACAATCTAAAAAAATCCCAGCTATTGTACCTAATTTCTTGTAGAAGTAAGAAAACCCTACAAACCTGAGTCATTTGCTTTAATTTTAATACATAGGTAGAATTTGATAAAGTGGCCTCTGTCATGTCAGGGGAGGAAGATGATCAGAATATATATTCTGCCAAACTCAACCCAATCAATAAAAAACACTTCGAGGAATCTGCTATGAAGGTAGAAAGGGATGAAGACATTATCACTTATCAACTCAATGATAATTTCCCTGCCCAAGATGGAGAGAAAGGGCTATCTCCCAGTACTACTCGATCTTGCGATTCAGTTAATAGGCAACTGATCCCCTTTCAAGTTTATGATGGGAAACAAATCTCCCTCATAAAACCTCAGAATAATGATATAAAAAGTTGTTCTGCAAAGTTAAAAATGGAGGGCGATGTGAAAAAAGTGGACGTTAAAAGTAAGTCTGTGGCTATCCTGTTTTTTGTTTTGTTTTGTAAATACTGCATAATTCCATTTTTTTGTAAAATCAATTCATGATTTTAATTCATAGTATATTAGTGTGCATCTGAGACTAGTTGGATTCGCTACCTTGAGAGAAAATGTGAGTTATAATTCTTTTTAATACTAGTATATTACTTTGTTTATTCCTCAGTGTCATACTAAAGTCTGATGTTTGGTAGGTAAAAAAGTACCTAAGGTGAACACATCTTCTCCTGAACAAAATCTGCAGTTTTCATTAATAATGAAGTCATACCATCTCCGTCATCGATCTCCTTATATGGTAAGCTTTTGAATCTCAACTCTGAGCTCTCTTTGAAGGTTTGGAGGGGAATAATTTTAGTCTTCATTCTTCAATGTTAAAATTATTAGCTTTTGACATAATATGTGGTTATATAACATTTAATACATTTTTAGAAACATTTGACCTGTCAAGATATAGATTAAACCCTTCAAATACTTCCCCTCCAAATAAACCGTTAAGAATTCATTTTTCCATTACAAACTCAAACTTAAACTGTCCGATTTTTCCTCGAAAAACAGAGCTTTTGCTGCTTTTTTGTCTGATACTAATGATATGTTTCTTAAATATGTATTTCAGCATGTCCCTGCAGGATTTTGTGTGGCAAATGATCGATATCAAAATGCAAGACTAACTCTGAGAGGGCCAATGGTTGAGCAAGAAGTCAGCCTTCGGGTTTGCAGGGGAGGGAGCACCAAATATGCAGTCATTACCAGGGGTTGGCTGGAGTTCATTGCAGGAAACAAACTCGGAGTGGGAGACACCTGCCTCTTCAAACTTCAGTGTGCTGGAACTAGTTCAGCTGGTGTTGTGTTGGATGTTGAGGTTGTCCCAGCATAATTACAGGGTTAGATGGAAATTTACCCAATTTATATACACGGACTGACTAATGTAGTAATGTGGTTAACTTAATATTGTCGTTCTTTTGAGACACTGATATAGGAAATTATTTGTGTGTTAGTGAATGTTAACTGTTTTAGATCGGTTTTACATGCAATATGATGTTCCAATTTGAAGTCAAGCATATGGTATTCATGACAAGTATGCAATTACATATATAGAGAAGTTGAGTCTTCTGCTAAGAAGAGATTAAGATATTGGGAGAAGAAGAATAGAAGTGGTTGAGACTTTTTTATGGTATGTGGTTGAGACTCATAAATGCTTATTATTAATATGATATGATTAATGAATAATAAGAAAAGGTTATCAAAATCTCCAATTGTGCATGTATGGATCGTACACATTGAATTTGCTCTGTGTATACATTTATTTATTTTAGGGAAAGTTCCCGAAATGGGACCAAGAACGTGTCAAAATTCCAAAATAGGATTGCCATGTTTTTATTTCCAAAATAGGAGTAATTACTGTCAAGTTTGGAAAATACTGCCATGTTTAAAGTTTGGTACTGCCAAAATATAACAGTAATTAGTCCCATTTTGGGAATTAAAAACATGGCAGTCCTATTTTGGAATTTACAAACGTTTTTAGTCCTATTTAAGGTAAATTCTCTTTATTTTATTCATATATATAACACAACTATGGCAATTTTATGACTACAGTGTAAATAAAAGAAAGGAGTGTGCTATTGATATTTTTATAGTAACTATAGGTCTATAGTTACTATTAGAATGTTCAACTTTACACCATATTGAAGTATAGCAGTACTTTTACGAACACCATTAAATGATTGAAAATTGAAACTCTACTTGTAGTGCAACCGTGGTTGAGTAAGCAGTTTGGTTGATTTCTCAAGTTCAATCATGGGCAACGATAGTGTGAGGTTTTATCCAATGTGATGACCTCTTGTATAGTTGTACATGTCCTAAATCATAATACCTCTATGGCTCTATCCTAGTAAGTTTGGGACAATTCGATTTACGATGTTTGACTGACGATAAAGCAAACAGATCCCTGTTCGCACTCAAATTTTTTTTTGAATTTTTTTTTTTACATATTCAGAAACTACATTAAAAACTTTACAAAGTCGCAAAAACCAGAATTGAATTAAATAAAAATTTAATATATAAAGTAAGAGATTAAGAGTGATTTGTGTTGACCAAGTGAATAGTGTTTGGGATAATCTTAGCGTGACGGAGGAAGTATCATATAAAAACTGTTTGAGGCCACACTATGAATTACTACAAATGTAATTCAATCGTTTTGGATTGAATATTGAAACTCAATTCCTACAAATGTATGACTGTATGAGACATGAGGCAAGAGAATGTAAAGCTCAGTTAATGAATTTATGTAATTTATATTGAATTTAGTTAGTTATAGTAAAGATGATCCGGAGTTGTATATATATTTGTGATATGATAGAACATTTTTAAAGACAAAACTTACCAAAAAGGGAAAATGCATCAAATTTTTGAATACATCCAAAAAAGAAAGTGTAGCAAACAAAAAAAATACGGAGGGAGCACTAAATTTTAGGGTCAGAAGTGGAGGAACTTGCCCCCCAAGTCATATACAAATAGTATATGTGCGGTGCATTACAATTTTTTCTTTCAACACAAATTTAAATTTAAATTGGGGCAACAAATATAAGATTCAAGACTCCATAATGACTCAAAAAAGACTTCAAACATGACAACAATACACTGACGTGGTTAAAATGGTGTCAACATGGCATATAAATTAAAATTGTCTACCACAACAAAAAGTACATTAATCAAAATAGTGTTCATTTTACATAGATAGCTCTTTATATGCCTCAAACTTGCCAATATATAAAAAGCACCCTCCATAAGTCTTTTGGTTTGTCTTTGAAATGAAGTGTATAAAATATTAAAAAATATGACATATAGTACATATACTAATTTAATGATAGACATAATGAGTATAGTTTAATATTTGCACCTGCTTCATTAATATTAGATCGTAGTTATTCCGAGTAACATTTAAAGCAAAGCAATGCTAAAACTGTTTTCAACTAGTAAAATTGATGCCAAGAATTAGAGAAACAATACATTCTTTAGGTTCAGTAATTTGACAAAGCGAGTCTGGATGAAAGAGAGCGTAACATAAGTTCTTAACTAATGAGTAATTAGAATGAAAGTTAAACTTTGATATTTAGAAATTAGAATACGTAATAAAAATGACTTCAATTCGGCTTGAGTAGAATTAGCTAGGGGTAATATCGGAACTCTAAGGTATCGAGCATATAGGGACTTATAGTTTTTTATTGGGTTATGAGCTTATTTTATCTCAAACTATTGTCAAATTCACAAATCTATCTTAAGCTTTCATTTTATAAAAAAAAACACTCAAAATTCATGTTTTTCAATGACTATATATGCTTTTCTTTTTGTTTTTTCAAAAATTACTTATTTTTTATAAATACCAATAAGATATAAGCAATACAAGTTTGTAAACTTAAAACGAGAAAAAAGTGAAAAAAATATGAAACATAAATATGATTTTCATCTTAAGTTTTACTAATTCATCAATTGAAAGTGTAATTGTGAGAAAAACAAAAGTTTGAGTTTTTTTTTTTAATAAAAGTGAAAGTATGGGATAAATTTGTGAACTTGATGATAATTGGGGATATATTAAGCTAATAATCCTTTTTTATTTATTACAAATAGTATTGGACAATTAGACATGCATTTGGTTTCTTGTGGTGCTTCATTAGCCTTGAGTTTAATGACATATTTTTTTTTAATAATAAAATACATATGAATACATACAATACATGAACAATATATAAAAAGTTAAACTTTAATATAAAAGTATAAATTAATATAAAAAGACGCCAGATGATATAAATGAACAAATTTATCATCAAAAAAATTTATCCTTTTTTGATTATAAAAGTATAAATTAATATAAAAACACGGCAGATAATTTTTTGACATCTAAATCCGCTTACAGAGTTTTTTCCTAAAATAATGCCAAATAAACAAATATTTATTTGATTAGGGTTGGTTTAAAAATATTTCCCAAAATGTTGTCCGAGTTATGGTTATGAAAACTGTCACTTGAAGTTTCGGCTTAAGCAAAGCGAATACAATTCTTGTTGTACCCACCTTTATATTCACCTTATACCCACTATGTCTGTGAAAGGTCTTTTTGTCTGCGAATCCGGTTCACAGACAAAATATGTTTTATTTTGTTTGTGCAAAATTTGCATAGACATATTTTGTCTGTGAACAGAATTTACTGACCAAAAAAAGTTCTGCACAAATATGGTGAGTATAAAAGTGAATATAAGAGCGAGTATAAACAATATTTTTTTTTGAAGAGAACAACACGCTAGCAAACTTGCGCACAAAAGATTGCAAATCATCTCATGGCTCCTGGGTCCCACTTGGAAAAAAATCACCTCTTTACTTTAAACAGTTATAACTTTTTATTTGTACTCTAATTGTTACGCAAAATATATCAAAATTAGCAACTTTTTATTATCTTTTAAAAAAATCAAAAATAATTTAGCAATTTTAAAACAATTACTCCGTATGTTTTTAAAATGTTGTAAATTTTTTATTTTTACTCCGATTGTTATAAAAAATATATCAAAATTCATCATTATTTACTCTGTCTTATATTTCATATGACATCAATATTGCATATATAGAAATAAAAAAATAATTTAACATTTTAAATAAACTTTTGTCTTTCAAAATGTTGTAAGCCTGTAATTATACATGTGTAATCCGATTGTCACAAAGATTAAAGTTAGCTAAAGAATTTGTGACAAATTGATCAATTATGAGAGAGATATTACCCAAAATGGGACTAAAAAGGTTTGGAAATTCCAAAATAAGACTTCCATGTTTTTATTCCCAAAATAGGACTAATTACTGTCATGTTTTGCCAGTACCAGACTTCAAACATGGCAGTATTTTTCAAATGTGGCAGTAATTAGTCCTATTTTGGAAATAAAAACATGACAGTCCTATTTTGGAATTTTCAAACTTTTTTAGTCCCATTTCGGGAACTTTCCCATTATGAGAACTTAATTTGAGAACATGTATTTAAAAAAGGTTTCGAGTCTAAAAATATCTAGTAGTCGTATCCTCAAATTTCTTTTTTATATATTTTTATTTTTATACTAGTATATACAATATTAGGATGTTTTTACTTGGACTGTAATTTGTTGGTCTCGTCTGATTTGGTCTGTTTATGTATGGTCTGGTCTAGTCTGGTCTGAACCAGTCTGGTCTGGATCTGTATATTTTATAACTACGGAAGTCAAGTCAGGTCTGATTTGTTTAAGTCTGGTCTGGTATGGTCTGGGACTGAAATCAGTCCAAGTAAAAACATACATACTTCGAGTTATACATAACACTAATAATTTATTTTTAGGAGGCCCCCTTGCGAAGGGCGGAGTCAGGATTCGATTGAGCGGTGTTGGGTTGAAATAAAAAATAATAACATATAAATTACAAATCAAATAAATATTAAATAATGCATTGATATTCATTTAAAACACTCAAAAATACATATTTAAACGCGATGTGAATTAAAATTTAGAACGTCGCTCTTACATGTCACGAAAATATGCATGCTCTAAAATAAGTTTGTATAATATTTCATGAAATATTTAAATGGTAAAATAGATACTAAAGAGCCTTAAAATGATTTTTTCCAACATGGATAGATTAACGTAAGCTCTTTATTTCATCTCTAAACAAAGACAATATATACTAGCACCTTCTTAAATAATTAAGAATTTCTTTAGATACTAAATAATATTTCTTTAGTTAAGTATTTACTAATTTTCGAAATAATTACCCAAGTAATGAAACAAATCCTATTTTTTAACAGAATTAAGAAAACAAGAATCACTTATCTAAGCACTATAAAACTTGAATTAGTTAGCTAGTCAATAAGTACTCAATATCGACTTTACTCAATATTGTACCCCTATAATTTAAAGAAAAATTTAGTACCTAGAAATTAAGGTTAAGGATATTTGCAAGGGAGAGCTCCAAGGGATAAATCTAGTCGAGAAAACTTATTAATTACTCTTCTTGTATATAAGCAAATTTAACAAAATGAGGCTCCGTAAGGTTTGAAGTATGGCTCAAATTTGCTAATGCAAGGACATAAAATGTCCGTAATAAAAAATTTAATTTTGCATGTCTATTAAACACACACTCACACCCATTAATATTGAGTAAAAGTTTAATTTACATTGCTCTGTGTTGTCACATGTCTTGCACCGTTTCATATCATTAATATATGATCTTTTCATGACCAGGATTTCTGGAAAAACTGAGCACTATTAATGCATACTTTCTGCTATTGTACACTTGGTAAACTCTTTTTCCCAAAAGATATTAAGGTTAGAAGGAATCAAACCCAAGAAGACAGAGCTTTGACAAAAAAGGAAAAAGCAGAGACTCGTTTACAGGACTCATTGCAATGCAATATCTCTGCCCGTATCCTGGTAATTATGTTCTGTACTCTCAGGTCAGGACTCTTATTTCCTGTGCTGTGTTTGTTTCTGTAAAACGAAAAAGAAGAAAAGGAAACAAGAAAACTCTCTTTTTCGTTGGAGTTGAGTGTATTCTACAATCTACATCAAATTGCTCTTGAGACCAGAGAATCTGTATAAGCTCTCTCCTTAAAAATGGAAGCCAAGGTGCCCAAATTCTTCAAGGTGTTGCCTCCTGGTTTTGAAGCCAAACTGGTATTCCCTTTCTTTCTCTATTGCACATTTCTTCTTCATCTCTTGTTTATCAAAATATTGCTACTGCAAGATCCTTTTTTGTGGAATTTTTTGAATGGTGCAGAGGCTTCCACCGATTATATCAAGGAAGCTGGGCGAAAAGGAGGAACAAAAAGTTTTGTTGATAACAGGAAAGGGAACCTCTCTGGTAACAATCCAGAAGCTAGAAGATGGGAGGCTATGGTTCACCAACGGGTGGCATGCTTTTGTCCTTAAACACGGTCTGGTTATGGGAGACTATCTCACTTTTAAACACATGGGTAGTTCCAATTTCAAAGTCACAGTTTATACTGAGACCTGCTGTGAGAAGGTTTTCACTGATGCGCCTGAGGCAGAAGTTAAGGGTAAGTGACTATGTTCTTGTGTATATATTTTATCTCAGTTTTGGGTAAACTTCATTTCTCTGAGCCTCTAACTAACTGTCAAACAGGTGAAACACGAGAGGAAAATGCCGGCCCATTGGTGAAGCCTGAAGCTGAAGAAGTGCCTCCCCCGCCTCTTCCTCCTCCTCTTCCTCCTCCTCCTCCTACCCAACACCATTTTGATATGAATGATGGTTCAAATTCTAGGGTGGGACTCAATGGAAGTAAGTTTAATTTAGTTTCGTTGGATGGGTCAAGAGTGTAGCCATTCTTTAAATCTTTTCAATAACTGCATTATGGGAAGAAAAATCTGGTTAAGACTACTTGTTACAAAATCTGCACTCAGGGTGGAATTTAGACCCTTGTTTTGCTGTCTCCCTTTCAGCCTCTTAGATAGGGCTTTTCAAGTCAAATTATTATAGCATGAAGGTTGTGTTCAGGGACCTCTTTCCTTTAGTGTCTGTTTGGACCCCAGAAAACACTCTGGAGGATATTGGATAGATAGTTTTATTGGAAGATTAGAAGGAAAGAAAATGTGGGGGGCATAAAAGTCAGTGAATTTCTTAGAGGTTTGTTGATACTCATTTTTACTTATTTTATTCTACTAATAAACAAAGAGAATTTAAGTATATGGTTAAAAAATGAAAAAAGTAATGATAATTTATTTTTGCTTTGGAAGCATTTCATATACCGGTTATACCATATAAAAATCTAAAAATTCCAGCTATTGTACCTATGCTCTTATAAGTAGGGAAACTCTACAAAATTAAGTCATTTGGTTTAATGGTCATATTAATCTTGAATTCTTGATTAGGTATCGAGGTGAATGAATGCATGCTTGTGAATAAGATGGTAGTTAAGACTAGAAAAATCCAAATGAGAGCGTGATCTGGTTTTAGCTTTTAGTGATAGGGTGGTACCTTAGGTATTAGACTAAAGATTGCTGCTTTTTTATGCAGGAAGGATACCGGGAAAGCCCTACTTTTCCAAAAGCCAAAGGAAGGCTTTTCCTTCCCCGGCCAATGCCCAAGAGCCTAGCAACATTGCTTCTGTGAAATTTGAAGAGGACAATGATAAAATAACTCCTTTCCAAGTAAAAACACCTGTGAACATGTTTGCAGCTAAGAAGAAGAAAAGGAAGAGGCATCATCAATGTAAGCTGAATCTGATGTTCATATTCTCTTATATATTAATGCTTTCTGAATTGGATAGTTATTTATTGCTAATAACATGCACAATGTGGTTGTTTTCTACAAATAGTTCTGAAACTGAATGTGTTTTGGGGATTGTTTTGTTTGGAAAAATAAACATTGGCCCTTGTTTGGTTGAATTTGTTTTAAAGGGAGGGGAGAAAAGTGTAGTGATGGCCTGGTGGGTCTTGTTTGGTCAAGCAGTTTTAGAGAGGAGGGGAGGAAATGGTAGTGGGGGGTGGTTAACGTGTTGGGTTGGGGGAGTCAGGGGGAACAAGAAAGAAAATAGAGGTGCTAAAAACTACCTCAAAACTCCTCATATATGGCTCTCTCAGTTCAGGGATTTTGGAGTTAAATATATTTTTTCTTTGACTCTTAACTTTTTGAATCCTCAGCTAGTAAGCTATGCTATATTATTACTATTCTTATGCATGTTGTTTGATATATTTTTTACTTGCAACAAAAATACCATCAAATAATCAAATACAATAGTTTGACATGTTTTTTTGAAATAGTAATTCCTCACCAGTGACCCTATGCTGAACCAATCAACCAAACATACATGAATATTGTTTTTACTTGTTTTTGTTTGCTTTTAAAGTGAGATTTATAAATTTATTAGAGAACGAGGAAAATAAAACAAAAGGATAGGAAGGTTAGGCTAAGACCCCCCTCCCAAGGGCATACCCTCCCGAAATACAGCAATGTCTGAAGTCCAGGATCATAATACCACAACCTAGACAAACCACAAGATTTCCCCAAATGGCTTTAACCTACTGATTTTACAATACCAGGTGCCTAGAGGCTAGAACAACTGTCTTTTAATGCTACTGTATCTAGTAACAACCCGCAAAATCAAAAGCTTTCTTTTTGTGGCTTGACCAACACACATACAGAATCACACAAGTGACACAACCAGATACATAGCAATATAGCATGGTTGAACCCATATTTGTCCTGCTTTGGTTATTTTGGCTGCCCACCTTGTACTTACAGTAGTGTTTGCCCCTTGTACAGTTGTACTAATTCATCTTCTTCCTTCCCTTCTCCTCCCTCCTCTCTTTTGAATCAAACAAGGGATTATCAATAAATCAATAATGTTATGAATAACTATATACGTTGATTACGTTCAATGTGGTTTGTTTTCCCATATGCTGCTTACGTTCGCTAGTTCGAGGACAAGGAGAGGTGCTTAAACTAACGATGAAGGAATACAATCTCCGCTCTCGGTCTCCCTACTTGGTAATGTTTTTAGAAGTTCTCTAATCTCTATTATGCCTGTCCTCTCATAAATTTTTTGTCACGCAATAGTGTTTGATCACTTGTTTCCTTGCCATTTATGTATGTGTGGACTTCAGCACTTGCCTGTAGATTATTGTGTTGCAGCTGGGCTGGCCATGAACTCAAGGTTGACTCTTAGAGGTCCTTATGGTGATCAAGGTGTGTCCCTAAGAGTCTGCACTGGTGGCAACACAAAATACTCGGTGATTACGAGAGGGTGGCCAGAATTCATTGCCACAAACAATCTGAAAGTTGGGGATGTTTGCATTTTCAAACGCCTTGACATAGGAACATCTGATGCCATTGTATTAGATGTTGAATTTGGCAATCAGGGATGATAAACTGGAGCAAGCACTTATCTCTCTTACCTTGTAAAACAACTTCCCTATTTGGAGTTATTATGTGTAAACTAGCTACCTACTGTTGACATTGGAGAGCCAAAAATGCAAAACATTGTCTACCGTTAATACACGATTGGTCATTGGTCTAGCATTTTGGTTCTCTAGTGCCAAAATACCTATTAGTCATCTTTCCACAAATTGATCTTATTATTTCAATCCAAATTTAGTATTAGGTTCAACCTTGCATCCACACAGGCATTTTTTTCTGATCTTAGAATTAGTAAATTTGTAGGTGACTTGTAACAATGCTTAGAGTGGCCATGAATAGGTTTGTTAATAAGTCAAATTTGGATCTAAATTTGACCTAGATTGCATTTTAATAGGTATGAGTCCATATTTAATTTCATTTATCGAGGCATGCCCGGATTTAATATTTATTTTGACAAGTGGATCTTATATCATACATGTTGTGACCAATTAAAGATGAGAAAATATCACGATTAGACTTAAAAAGGAAAATAATATCACGTTTGTCACCATTTAAACCTCTTTTCAAAAGTAACGGCGGTTACATTTTACTTTTCAAAAATAGGCCTAGCGCGCGTCGAGTCCACTGGAATGCCTATTCGGATATTCATATTCCTAACAATTATACATGAGTACATGACTACACGTGTGGCTCACTGGATCCTTCTCCACACGATACTACCCCTGTCCCTCTAAGGATGTTTTTACTTGGACTGTAATTTGCCCCAGATCAGACTAGACCAGTTCAGACCAGACCAGACCAGACCAGACTTGGATAGTTATAAAAATACAAAGAAACCAGACCTTACCAGACCAGACCAAACCGGTTCAGACCAGACCTTACCAGACCAGACCGGTTCAGACCAGACCAGATCAGACCAAACCAGACCAGACCAGCAAATTACAGTCCAAGTAAAAACATCCTATGTTTGGGACGAGAAGGTGGCACAGTTATTAATAAAAGTGAGTTTATGTGGTTGGTATTGAATTGATAAAGTAAGAATAAAGTAAGAATGATTTAGAACCACACAAATTTTACCAAATAAGGTATGAGATAATCTTAGTGGGACAGACCAAAAAGGTAAAATAAGACGATCATAGCGGAACAAAGGGAGTATAAACTACTCCGTAATACGTAGTATTACCACTAACAATTACTCAATTATATTAAAATCTACTCAAGTATGTTAAAAATAATGCTCGTAAACACTTAATTAACGAAAAATGAAAAAACATACGATAGTACAAACTAATCAAAGTTATAGTCGTTTGAAAAATCCAGTAAAATATTCAATGTTTTTTTGAACGAAAATATTCAATGTTCAAAAATTGCAAATTAAATTTAAAAATTCATAAAGTAAAGGAATTGAAAAAAAAAACAATAAATATATAAAGATGTATTTAAAACAACTTTAGTTTAATAGTGGAAAATATGTAAAAATAACACGACTTGTGGGAAAAATTTATAGTCGTAAAAACAATTAAATTTTAAAACCTATAAACTTACAAAAATAAAACAAAAATAAAACAAATGTTTTAGGAAACACCTATTAATACTTTTATAAATAATTAGCACTTTTTAAAAAGACTACAAACGTTTTAATAAAATTCTAGCGAATAAAATAAATATATATACTCCGTATATAATTACTCCTTATTAGGAAAAAATAAAAAACAAAGAAAAATAACAAAACAATATTTAAATTACTCCGTATAAAAAAATACAAAAAACAAATTTCAAAATGTCTAAGCTAATTTCGAAAAATAATCCATATAAATTCTCAAAAATATAAATTTGAAAAAGAAAAGATAAATCAAAGGCTAGAAATTTGTAAAGGTTAAATAATATTGAAGAATATGAATTTTGTGAATTAAAAATATTTAAATGGGTATCAAATTAAATACTAGTATATAATATTTTAAAACATTCAAAAAGTGAAATCGTCATTTTAAAAATAAAAAAATAAAAATAAGATTCCTAGAACTTTATAAATATCAGAAATTAAATAAAATTAGAAAGTGTGAAATATGAATAACTCAAAAAAAAAATGTAAAAAAATAAATAAAACCTAAAGATATACAAATTAAAAAACTTATTAATGGGAGTATTGTTAAATATTTTAAAAGAGGTATATATTTTAGTTATTATATATTATTATCATTTAATTGTTACTTTTGTTTCATATTGTTTCTTTGTGTTTCTTTTTGTTGCTATTTTTTTTTGTTTTTTTATGTTTCTTGTTGTTTTCATACATCAAGATTTATCATATACGTGTTTGTATATATATCTATATATATGAGTTTTCATTCCAAATAAGTAACACATTATACGTATAAATCGAAGTAACAACAAAAATAAAAATTCAATAGTAAAAAATAAGATGCAACAAAATGCAACATAATACAACAAAATGCAACATGATGCAACAAAAGACAACATATTCATTGCAACAAAGAGAAACAACACAATATATTTTACATGCGAAAAAACCAGTTTGCATTAGGTTGGAATAAGGTGATCAACCATGGATCGATTCAAAAGATGGCATAGAATGGACAATTAAAAAAGAAAGCACTCCAAGCAAATTAATTTGTGCTTAGACAGGCATGCCTCAAAGGTGATCAACCAGTGAAGATATTTCAACTATAGCACTATGAGCAAAAATGGCTCCTCAATAAGAGGAAAGCAGCACAGATATCCAAGAACATGACTTGTGGTCCCTGCACCTTTTGCAGATCCAGGAGGTAAATCAATCTATCGATCTATGAATAACGAATGAAGAAGCGTAAATTTTACTACTCTCAATCTTTGGAAAATTATATGCAACACTAAAAACAGTGAACTCAACATACCACATATGTAGAAACACGCCGCTTCGTGATTCTAGACCAAACAACGGGATCAAGCAACATCCAAAAATTGCAGTTGGCTGGTTGTCACGCCCCGGACCTATCCGGACACGTCAACAATCCGCCGTACAATACGAATAGTCAACCGCAGTCCAACACATTCATATTATACAAGGCGTCTTGAATATCATTCACACATATACATCCATAAACAAACATAATAAGTAATTCATAACGCAGCGGAAAACATTGTTTAAAACAAAAGGGCCACACATGGCTATTCATGAGCACGCAGGCTCTATAGTAAAATATCCATGAGCATGTTTATTAATTTAAAAAAAAAAAACAGAATGGAGGAAGCACGAACCAAGTCTTCCCTCCTATATGATCTCTCGAGCAACGAGCACAGGAAGCAAGCTCTAGCCTCAACCTGAAAAATGGTGGTGGGACGCCCGCGAAGGGGTCAGCACTCTATAGGGCTATAAAGTGCTGGTGTGGCAGGCATCTAATAGATATACAACAAGTATTTCACACACAAGACCCTCAAATAGGGTGATAATATAGTATAGGCCGTAATCTCAAATTACCCCTTTCAAAATATATACTTACTTTATATAAAGTCAAGTAGTCGGCTCAAAGGCCCATGTTTATTACAAAACATTTACCAAAACCCCGTGACTAATGGTCACGACATACGTAGGGTCCAACCCTAATATAACTTCTCATTTCTAGAGTTCGGCTCGAGTACATCATCATGCACTCGCATCATAGATCTCCTACTTCATATAATCATACCATAGATCTCCTACTTCATGTATTCACTCCATAGATCTCCTACTTCATGTATTCACCCCATAGATCTCCTACTTCATACAATCACACCATAGATCTCCTACTTCATGATATCACACTTGACACTTGAACCTCATTCAAGTTCATCACAAACAACTCAAACCTTAAGTTTGATTCTATCAACATTTAGAACAATCCTTAACTAGCATCACAATACTATTAAGATTATTCCTACAACTCATTTATTCTTAATGGTAGCCCCTCCATATCCATAGATATGTGGCAGCCTCCCATGTGCTAAGCATCATCATGCAATCATACGTTTACATACACATAACATTCATACATGAGTTGGAAAGTCAATTTACCATATTAGCATACTTTTATCTCACATGACTCCATATTCATCAATATGGTTTCAATTTATGATCAAGTCCATTACTTATCATTCATATCATGTTCAAGCATATTTATTCACAAAAACATGATTCAAGCATTTAGGTAATCTCATGCATAACCTACAAGTTGTAAGCAACTAGATGTCGGTCCTCACCTCAAATGAGCTTTAAAACTTTCCTTCTCGATCCAATGACTAAAGCCTCGGCCAAGGAAGCTTGAGAACTGATTCCTTGCTTAGAATTGAGTGTTAAACAGCCCCCTCAAGGTGCTAGTTCAACTCCTAACCGAAAATGCAAAAACAGTCCCTAGAACGGGTGTTTCCCGACGAATTCGTTCCCTAACCTTTCAAGGTTTTGTCTAGGTTAGTATCTAACCTTTCCAACAATTAAAGTCACATAATAATAACATTTTATACACTTCAATCAGTGTATAATAGTTCTTCAATCATTTATATGATTTAGACAATAGAGAGGAAGGTTTTGGATTCAAACTTACTTTGAATACAAAAACGTATTCTGCGAGGTCGTGTTTTGATCGGTCTATTTGGAAGCCTTCCACTACTCCGATTTATGCAAACCAGACCTTCACGGATTCCTCGTCTTGAGAGCTTTCTGTTGGTATCTCGCACGCCTTATTTGGATGAGTAAATCTCAAGTTATGTCTCAAACAATCAAAGCTACGCACTGAAGAACGAACCCGCGGACTGCTCTCCTCCTTCCTTCTCTCTTGGGTTGTGTGGATTCCCTTGCTCTCTTATCTCTTTGGGGGTTCGAATGGGGTGTATGGGGGGTGTATTAGGAGCCCCTAAACATGCTAAAAGAGTATGTGGCTCACAAAAGAACATGGGAGATATTTGGTTTGCAATCAAATATGGGGTGGACCTCCCCTTTTTGTTTTCTCTTGGAGTTTTTGTGAATGTGAGCCAAGAGTCCGCCCCATATGGTCTTCTCACCTCTTCTCACTTGTTTTGCAGGTACTAAGTCCATGTGGAATGGTTCCCAATTGATCCCAATCATTTTGGGATCCAAATTATCTACCAATACTTCCAAAAATGGGAAAATGAGTCCTATTGTTTTATCTTTTGTCAAAGATGTCTTTTTGTACTCATCCTAATTCATTTAGGACAAGTCAACTTCCTTCATCACATTATTGATTTCCAATATGTGTAGGTTTATCACAATAATTTACTTAATGGATATTATAGAAGAAAAATCCTACTCCCATTATTTAGCTCAATAATGTTAAAGATGGGACTATAGGCATTTGTATTCTTCTTTAACCATTCTATCACTTATTTGACATTTGTCATACATATTAATGGGCTACTAACCGTGTGGGTCACTCCCGAGTGGGTCTAGAACGCCATTCCCGAATACTTGCTATTTTAGCGGGTTGGGCTCAAAATAACGTTTGGGCCGTCCGACCTTACTCGGATTGTCTTGAAAGATTATGTATCACTATTTGGATAATGTTGGGCTCTTTTATTTATTAATAAGACCCAAATAGTATTTGCATGCCCGACACTAATACACGAGTTCGAACAGTACACTAATCGATCATTAATTACGTAAAACATTAATTGTTTTACAAAATGTTTGGGAATCAGAAATCCAATACCTAAACTTTGAATTTTAAATCGAATTTTTCAAGGACGTTCGGGAGCGGTGTCACACTGGTGGTTCCTAACTCAATAATGATGCTTACAAGAGGACAATACAAATTGAAAATTGCACTACTAACTTTCAAGCATAGATGTTGTTGATTTTTCACAATATCAATGAAGAATACAGAAGCTAAATATAAAGAAACGTTCTGTTCAAAATTCTATAGTTTTGAATGCATTGAAACCTTGTGAAAAACAAAAAAAAGATATTGAAATATCCTTATTATCATGTGTACCAAAGCAAGTATACGTTAGAGTTTGGAGTTCAACAATATTTTTTATAGAAATTACTTCAAATAGGACTAAAACTATGACAAAAACTCAAAATAGGACTTGCTATGTTTTTTTTCCAAAATAGGACCATAGTGGTCCTATTGGAAACATACTCATTTCTTCCTTCCATTCTTACCCCTCCTTTAAATATTAGTAAAAGATAGCTAAAAGTCATAAATAAATGTTTAATTCATAATAAATTCGAAAAAATTTCAATAATTCGTAGAAAAATAATAAAAAAATTAATAAAATTTTTATAAAATAAAAAATAAGAAAAAAAAAAATTTTTAATTTTTTTTTTAAAAAATTAATAAAAAATAGTAAAACTCCATAAAAAAAATTAAAAAAAATATGGTTACGTTTCCCACCGCCTGTACTACCTCCCTGAACCACCACCTCCGATCGGTGTAAAAAATGCCACTTTTTTTTTAAATTCCACAAAAATGGCATATTTCTCTATGAGAATGCCAACATTTTCATTCTGCCAACTTGAATCCTTTTGACTTTTGCCAAAAATGTGGCATTCATAATTTTTTTGGCATTTTTTTACCCCGGTGACAGGAGGTGGTGGTACCGCCTCCCTGCACCACCACCTCCGACCGTTAAAAAAAATGTCATATTTCCTACAAACTTCCATTTTTTTCGGAAAATGCCAAAAATATGGCATATTTCTCTTTGAGAATGCCAACATTTTTTTTCTTCCATCTTAAATCATTCTGAATTATGCCAAAAATATGGAATTCATAATAAATTTGGCATTTTTTCCCCAAATGACTAGAGGTGGTGGTGCTGGGGCGGTATAGGCGGCGGTGACAAAAAAAATATTTTTTTGATTTTTTTTTATTTTTTTTTATTTTTTTTATTTTTTATTTTTTTTTAATTTTTTTTTAAATTTATTATTATTCAGAATATTTTTATTAATTTTTGGTATATTTTACGAATTTTTATTATTTTTTATTATTTTATTATGAATTAAAACATTCCAATAGGTATAAGGGTATATTTGTCCAAGACAAACATAATTAGTCCTATGAAAACATAGTTTATTTTTTGGTCCTATATGTGCAAAGTGAATGACTTTTCGTCCTATTTTGATAATTAAATCTATTTTTTATTTCCTAAAACATACATGATTTTAGTAAAATACATAAAATCCCCTGATAGTCGCAAAGACCACCAACACAAGGTTGTAACTTTTTGCGGTCTGACCGTCTAATGCCTACTGATCTAACTATATATAGAAAACACTCTGGAAAACATTTAATCTTTTTAACTCCTTGATGAAATCTTTTGAGATTGATAACTTCAACACAACGGTTTCGGTTTGACCAACAAAATTAATCCCTCTTAAGTTTATTAACCACAACCGTGCATTAATAAACCGAAGTTACTTAGTTGTGAAACCATCAACGATTAACCTTCGATTCGTTGATCGTTTCTAGTAATAATTAATGTCGAAGCGTTAACTAATCGTCACTTAGCAACACCCCAACATTAATATAGAATGAGATTAAGGGAAGAATTAATAATCAAGAGAAGAAGTTAAGAAAACAACTCACCACTTTAATAATCAACAAGCTTCATGAGCAAAACCAATAAATGGAAGTTTAGCTCCTCATTTGGAGACTAAAATGCTAGAAAAATATAAAGAAATGCTATTCTAAATTGAGCTTAAGAGTATGGAAGAACGAATGATTATTTGTGAAGGAAAAGTGTGCTATTTATAGGTGTTTTTCAACACCTTTGGCCGGGTACTCGACCGGGTATAGTGCCCATCCGGTCAAAATCAAATATTTCCCATGTTAGTGTGTTCTTCGGCAAGAGTCAAATAAGTTCTTATATAAGAGGCTTTGTCCGGCCGTCGCCATTTGGGATGGTTCCTGGTAGAATTTTTTAACGAAATTTTTTGAGCATCTTATTCATTAAGTCTAGTTTACTCATACTAAATTTCAACTAAAAATTCAACCAGGAAGACATTCAAATGAATTCTTGAAGATAACTACGCAGTTAAAAGCGCAGTTATCTTCAAGAATTCATTTGAATGCCTTCATGGTTGAAGTTTTAACTGAAATTTGGCATGAGTAAACTAGACGTAATGAATAACATGCTCAAAAAATTTCATCAAAAAATTCCACCGGGAACCGCCTCAAATGGCGACGGCCGGACAGTAAGGACTTTTTTAAGTTTTTTACCCTTTTTATGCAACTTCAAGTACCAATCCGACCCTTACCTCATTTTTCTTCTTTTTTGTGCATTCCAAATAATTTAGATATGTCCATAATTAAATACTATCTTTTGTTTTTAGTTGCAACATGTTGAATTTACACTGTTCACTTGCTCTAATTTGTCTATGTTTCTATTTGTTAATTCATGTGATAATTTAAAAATATTGTTCAATTTGGCTCATTACAAATTTTCAATTTTTTTTTTTAATTTTTTTCCTAATTGAGTAAAGGTATATTTACAATTGTATTGGCAAGTGTGCAAGTTTGGCTAGTTCAACTAAAAAAGCGGAGAAAATATAATATGTTTTGAGAGCATTCAAGTTTTTTTTTAATAAATGATTAAAATGATTTTAAAGAGTATATGGGAGCAATATAAGGAAGGAATTTATTCTAGAAGATTTTGCATATATGTCGTATATTGAACATTTTGAAAGTATTACTATTGAATAAGTCCCAAGGTTGTTACCTTGTTTTTAGGATTTAATTCCTTTACAGTGGTTATTTATTTAAGCGGCACTTCCTCTTGCCGCCGCTGGCCGGAGACCGGAATTTCAGGGACGCAACAAGTTCCCCTGGCTTGCCGATTTTAGGGGAAACAAAACAAGTCTTTTCAAAGAGAAATGGAAAACACCGCTTTTGATTCGAGTTTCCACCGCACTTTGAAATACTTACTAGCTACACAATTTCTGTCAAGGGGAATCCCGTTCGTATTCAATTCCTGGATTGTTAGACATCTATCAGAAGAAGATTATGTGGTTTGTGCTGTACAATTCCATCTGTTTGTGACCTGCATATTGTTTATGAGTAGAGAGGGATTCAGGCGAGTGTGCATGAGGGAAGATATTATGTGGGATGGTAGTTTAGCAGCAGGAGAAACTGAAGCCCAGGTTTTGAAAATCGCCTGGATGACCTTCCCATTAGGGGTACTGGTCACATTTTTGGCTTGTTTGATTGTATTCTGGTGGCAAGGTCTGGGTTATTCCAGTCCTTATGGACGAGCTATATTGATTAATGGTTTTGCCTGCATTCTTGAGCTACTGGCAGAACCCTTTTTTATTTTGGCCCAAAAATTGGCTCTTCTCAAACTGCGGCTGATTGTTGAAACTGCTGCCACTCTTTCACGTTGCATAGTAACATATGCTCTCATCCTGAAGCAACCGAGCTCGGAGAAAGCGATTGTATTTTCAATGTCACAGGTTGCGTATGGAGCATCTATTTTCATAGGCTACTGGGCTTACTTTCTTCTGTGCCAATTATACACAACTCGTGTTCTATTTCCGTTCCGGATGGGAAATACAAAAAACTATGATCAACTGCTTGTGAACATGTGCTTGATGCTTAATCTTCAATCCGTTCAGAAGTTGATTCTTCAGGAAGGTGAAAGGATGGCCCTTGTATGGTTTGATACACCATATAACCAATCAGTATATGGACTTGTAGACAAACTAGGGAGCCTAGTGGTGAGGCTGATTTTTCTTCCCTGTGAAGAAAGCTCATATGCAACGTTTGCAAGGCCTGCATCAGGAGATCGAGATTGGAAAAAGGAGAAATTGGGAAGGAGTCTGACAGATGCGCTGAAGCTTGTTTTGCTTATTGGTCTAGTTGTTATCGCATTTGGTCCAAGCTATTCATATTCCCTCATCAGATTGCTGTATGGTAGAAAATGGAGCGATGGAGAAGCTACCAAAGTACTCCAATGTTATTGCCTTTATGTGATAGTTTTGGCCATGAATGGGACGTTTGAAGCATTTCTACAGGCAGTTGCAACAAAGAAAGAACTTAAACGGTCAAATGGTTCATTGCTTGCCTTCCCATTGATATATGTGATCATTAACGTCTTGCTTATCAGATCAGCAGGCACAATTGGATTGATTTTAGCAAACTCTGTGCATATGATCTTGAGGATAGTTTACTCAGCGGTTTTCATCAAAAAGTATTTCAAGGAATCATCATCCTTTGCGTTTAGAGCTTGCTTGCCTGGAGGTTATGAATTTTTGTTGGTTTCAGGAGTAGCCACCTTCATACTTGAAAAGATGTACCTTAACCGAGACAGCTTCTCGGCCACCTTTACTGTTCACTTCTCATTTGGTTTATTCTGTTTTCTTGTGGCCACTTTCATAATCTATCAAAAGGAGAGGCCTTTTATCGCGAAAATTATACGCTTCCGCGAACACGCTGATTGAATGTGCTAAAGAATTACATCTTGCTCAATAGGGTTTGTGAAAAGTTTTGCTCTATTTCAAGATCAACGAATCATAAGCGCTGAGGATTAAAAGGATATTATTGTCTAATGATGCGAGGATTACGAGCATTTCTGGTATACTATGCTTGCTACCAGTTGTTCACCCCAATCTTTTTACAATTCATTTGCCTTCCATACAATTATGTCACGGAATTTGTACAACCATATGTTTTGTATTCAATCCTCTTGAGTGTTGAACCTATCTAGTAAAGTAGATAATTTTTGTTTTTCAAAAAAAAAAGTTCTGGCTATTTAAGCCTTCATTTTCTTTAGTTTAATATACGTACGCTGCATTGCATCTACTCTAATCTCTTCATAGTTTTAGTTGACATTTAGTATCAGAGACTTATGGAATCTTTCCTTGGGCCGTTTGAGTGTTTTCGTGAGAGTGAAACACAGATTTTAGATTGACCATCAACATGTAGAACAACAATGGAAATGTAAGTTTTCTAAATCAGTTGCGTATCTTTAAAGAGGTGAATTTTCTTTTTCGGGGTCTGAAAATGAAAACTCTTTTTAAATCACAAGAGCTATGGAGCTGTGTGGAGAATGGATTTGAAGATGATGGCACTGAAGAACCAGATCAGACCTTAAGGGACAGAAGAAAAAAGGATGCAAAAGCTCTTTATATCATTCAACATTTATCTGGTTGATGCTGTGTTTCCACGCATTGGAGCAACTTTTACAGCAAAAGAAGCATGAAATATTTTTACTCAAGAATATGTAGGAGACAAGAAGGTAATCACTATGCGATTACAATCTTTGAGAAGAGAATTTGAAAACTTCCAAATGAAGAAAAAGGAGACTGTCCCAGACTACCTATCAAGGATGTCAACAATAGTCCATGCTTTCTGAATTGGATAGTTATTTATTGCTAATAACATGCACAATGTGGTTGTTTTCTACAAATAGTTCTGATTCTGAATGCATTTTGGGGATTGTTTTGATTGAAAAATAAACTTTGGCCCTTAGCTTGGTCCAACTTGTTTTAGAGGGAGGGGAGAAAAGTGTAGTGATGGCCTAGTGGGTCTTGTTTGGTCGAGCAGCTTTAGAGAGGAGGGGAGGAAAGTCTAGTAATGGGTGGCTAATGTGTTGGGTTGGGGAGTCAGGGGAGGGCATGAAGGAAAATAGATGAGCTAAGAAGCACCTCAAAACTCCTGATATATGGCTCCCCAAATTTAGGGATTTCGGAGTTAATATAGTTTTCCTTTTAACTCGTACCCTTTTTAATCCTCAGCTAGTAAGCTATTCCATATTATTATTATTATTCTTATGCCTGTTGATTGATATATTTTTACTTGCAACAAAAATATCATCAAATAATCAAATATAATATTTTGACATGTTTATTTCAAATAGTAGTTCCTCACCCTATGTTGAACCAAACATAAATGAGTATTCTTTTACTTGTTTTTGTTTACTTTTAAAGTGAGATCTATTTATTTATATATTAGAGAATGAGGAAAATTAAACAAAAGGGTAGGAAGGTTAGGCTAAGACTCCCTCTCCTAAGGGCATACCCTCCCCGAAATACATGTCTAAAGCCCAAAATCATAATACCACAACCTAGATAAACCACATGATTTCCCCAAATGGCTTAACCTGCTGATTTTACAAGATCAGGTGCCTAGAACAACCTGGTGTGTTCATGCCCTCAAAACAGTCTTTTAATGCTACTGGATCAAATAACAACCCCCAAAATCAAAAGCTTTCCTTTGTGGCTTGACCACATTCATACTAGCTGGTTGAACCCATATTTGTCCTGCTTTGGTTATTTTTGCTGCCCACCTTGTAATTACAGTAGTGTTTGCCCCAGTGTTTGCCCCTTGTATTAATTCCTCTTCTTCCTTCCCTTCTCCTCCCTCCTCTCTTTTGAATCAAACAAGGGCTTATCAAAAATGTTATGAATAACTATATACGTTCAATGTGGTTTGTTTTTCCATGTGTTGCCTACGTTCGCTAGCACGGGGACAACTAGATGTGCTTGAACTAACAATGAAGGAATACAATCTCCGCTCTCGATCTCCCTATCTGGTAAAGTTTTTAGAAGTTCTCTAATCTCTATTACGCCCGTCCTGTCATAAAATTCTTCTCACGCAATAGTGTTTGACACTTGCTTCCTTGCCATTTATGTATGTGTGGACTTCAGCACTTGCCTATAGATTATTGTGTTGTGGCTGGGCTTGACAAGGACTCGAGGTTGATTCTTAGAGGTCCGTACGCTAATCAAGGTGTATCCCTAAAGTGTGCAGTGGTGGCAACTGGCAACACGACATACTCGGTGATCACTAGAGGGTGGCCAGAATTCATTGCCACAACCAATCTGAAAGTTGGGGATGTTTGCATTTTCAAACGCCTAGACATAGGAACCTCTGATGCCATTGTATTAGATGCTGAATTTGGCAATCAGGGATAATAAAACTGGGGCAAGCACTTAGCTCTCTTACCTTGTAAAACAACTTCCTTATTGAGACTTATTATGTGTAAAAAACTATCCACCTACTGTTTATTTAGTTAAAAGTTGTTTACCAGGTTATTATCAATATGTGAGAAGGGTTAAAGAAGCACTATTTAAATTTATAGTTGTTTAGGGCCATTGCCCATTAATTAGTTTCCAAAAAGATGCCTTAATTTAGCCTTGATGGCTTTGTACACGATAATTTTGCCCACTTAGGTGTTTTTTCAGACAAAATGTTCTACTGATTGATCTTGGAGAGCTAAAATGCAAAAGTGCAAAACATTGTCTATCGTTAATACACGACTGGTCTAGCATTTTGACTCTAGTGCCAAAATACCCATTAGTGAAATTTCCACAAATGCATCTTATTAGTTCTATCCACATTTAGTATTAGCTAGGTTAGCACAATGTTTTCTGATTTTGGACCGGGTATCTATGGATAATCTATTTAGGATCAAGGGTTTGTCGTTTCTGGCGAAGCTGCGAGCCTACTTCAATCTAGCTTACGCTTACCAAGCCTAATCTACTAAAATAGGGCTACAACAAGCTTTCCCCCTTCGTTTGTTGTGGGTCGCGCCTCACCGCAGGCACTGAATGAATGAAATGAGTGGAGATCTTCCTTCCCCCTTACTAATTACCAATAGATAATACAATTCAAGGTTATAATTGAGGAAATAATTAAGGAAAACGTTATCACATATCAACTCCACAATTATTGTTTTAAAATAACTTTCCAAATAATGTTCCAATAACTTTCCAAATAACTTTCTAGTAACTTTCCAAATAATTCCAACAATTATTTCATATTGGAGTGGTACTAATGCTACTTACAACTTCAATTATTTAGGGCATCACCAAAATAAAATTTCATATTTTTTTGAAGTGTTGTAATTTTTTCATTTGTATTGTGATTGTTATGAAAATTATATCAAATTTCGTAACTTTTTATTATCTTTCAAATGACACCAATCATGAATATACAATAATAAAAAATAAATTAACACTCAAAAACATCTATTTGTTTAAATTTATATAACTTTTTTATTTGTACTCTGATTGTTACAAAAAATATATCTAAAATCATAATTTTTTATTATCTTTCATATGATATCAATATTGAATATATAAAGATAAAAAATATTTAAACACTTCTAAACGTATTTGTTTTTAAGTGTTACAACTATTGTTAGATCAAACCAGGTCAGAATTCGACAGTTGCAAGCGTGTACTAGATCAGTTCATATGAAATCAATCCAGATCAGACTTAAGCAGACTAGACCAGACAGACCAGACCTGAAGATTTCGATCGAACAGACATGTGAAAGCATACTTTCTCTCAAACATAAATTAACACGATTGTAGTCAAATACAATTTCACTACATATATAAATTTTAGACTCCTACTTATAGAAATTTTATGAGTAAATGGTCAGTTTGGTTTTCGAAGTTGCATAAAAGGGGTCAAATATGTATTTATATAGAAGATTCTGTCCGGACATGCCATTTGAGGCGGTTCCCGGTGGAATTTTTTGATAAAAATTTTTGAGCATCTTATTCATTAAGTATAGTTTACTCATACCAAATTTCAACCAGAAATTCAATCGGGAAGACATTCAAATGAATTCTTGAAGATAACTGCACTTTTAACTGCACAGTTATCTTCAAGAATTCATTTGAATGTCTTCTCGATTGAGTTTTTATCTGAAATTTGGTATGAGTGAACTAGACTTAATAAATACGATGTTCAAAAAATTTCATCATAAAACTCCACCGGGAACCGCCCCAAATGGCGAAGGCCGGATAGAACCTCCGATATAAGGACTTATTTGACCCCTTTTATGCAGCTTCGAAGACCAAACTAATCCTTTACTCTAAATTTTATTCAAACACTAATAACACAATTTCACTATTTGTATACACTATTCCTCGGAATCTAAAGTTACATCTTTCTCATTATTTCATATGAATTTTTCTCTCCACTTTTCAAACTCATCTCCCCATAACTCTCAATTGCATCCAAATGAAATTTATCTTTTCAATTATCTTTACCTAAACAAAAAATGAAAATGCTCAATTAGTACCTATAGATTACTATGCACAGATTAAAACTACTAATAGTGGAATTGTGTAAAAAAATTCAAAAATGTTTCTTTTATCGGCCTACCCCAAGGTACTGCCATCCTCCGCCACTATCTCCAAACATGTGATTGTTCAAATTAATAATGTACAAGGGGTAACAAGGCATGGAACACACTAAGTAATATAATAAATTAATGTACATGCATTCTATAATTTCACACTACATTTAATATTTGTTCAAATTTGTGTCGGCATAGCTAAATTTTCAAAACAAATTCTCGTTGGTATTATAAATATAAATTATGACACGTATATTATTAAAATAAATGCATATTATTATTAAAATAAAGACAATTCAAGTAAATATGACCCTCATATGTGGTATTTGACCTTAATAATTTTTGGTAACCCTAATCATCTTCAAATTTATGCTACACTTATTATTATATATGGAGCAAGTGATATAACGCTTATAGAAACTCTAAGGAGACAAAACCAATACAATTAATACATTTAATCATGATAGGACTCTTGTAATGCCTCCAATTATTCGGCAATCATTGTTGTTTGTCACCCGGGGAGTAAAGTAGAAGACCCCCCCCCCCCCCGAAATTGGCTTTCTCTGTTGTTAGGCACTAGGAGGAGTGAAAACGAAACACTCCCCCTCAGAATATGCATTTATTGTTTGTTCTTGGCATGTGTTGGTGTTGAGGTGTGCATTGGTGATTTCCAACTCATTGGGTAGTATACACACCAATACTCCCCTTCATAATGTGCCCTAGTGTTCTTCCGGTCTTTATCTCCCTCTATTTAGTACCTTGCTCAGAACACATCCATATGAGCATAATATGCTGACGTGACAATACATACTGATCGCTTGCAACGAGCATGGGTGTAACACAAGGAGTTTGTCAAGTTCTGCAAACCATCCACAATGAATTTGTTTCCATCATAGAGGTCATGGTAGCGGATCGAATAGTTGCTTCCCTATTAGAGTATTGTCACTTTTGATTTATGTGTTGTGGCGATTATATATGTAGGTGCATTTGTTGACTTTCAGCTCAGTGGAAGTATACACGTCAATACTCTCCTTGATAATGTGCACCCTGGTTGATTGCTCACAGTTCATCTTCATACCCGCCATGTGAGTGGAGCAATCAGATCAGTTACCACACATGACGGACCTGCAAGGGTTAAGAAATCTTTGGTACCCATTTTACGGTGGGTCCATCCCTTTTAGCACAAAACAAATTTTGGATATTTTTTTATTTTAGTTCCTAAACCAGTCTCTTTTGAAGCTTTGAGAGAGCTATATGACTGGGATTCCAATTTAGAACACATTTTTGAGTTATTGTAGGTGTAAGAGAATTTTCAGTGTAGGTGAATGATGGAACATGTTTTTGAGAAGTAAAGATTTTCTCTCTTGATAACCGTTTCAGGTGTTAGGCTGAATAAACCTTGATGGGATAAGTCGGGCAAACACCGTCACAAATCGTATAGGTTGAAGCTTCAAATCTTTTCTATTTCAATTTGCCATCATTCACATCACAATGAGGTTTGGAAGCCTTACCCTTTTGTTTAGGTTTCTCTGGATTGCTAACCTCATCACTTGAATGAGAAAACACAGATCCAGAGTCATTAGAAGAAGACTGAGAAGAATGGTGTATGTCAGAGCTAAACGGCTGAGAGCTTGAACTTGAACTTTCTTTTAAAGCACTCTTTGAAATTGGAGAGGTGGTAGTGTTGTGTCTGTTCTGGGAGAAATTTTGAGAAGAGAAATCTCATTTCAAAGTTATTGTTTTTCTGTTTTGAAAACCTCTATATCAGTTTCCAAAGATCTGTGCAAGTCCACAATTTTATGGATGATCTTTGGAATGTAAACATTGTCAGTTTCGGATTTTTCAGAAACATATTTTTCTTCCGTGCAGACACAGACTCAAACTTACTTGTTGGAGGAAAAGGTGATACATAGTCATCAGACAAAGGAATTTCCCTAGTCTTATAAATAGCATTCAGTTCAGTGTAGTTAAACGAGATCTCAGCCTTAGGATTATTTTCTCTCTTTTCTTTTTCTTTGGCATCAATTTCTGATGCTCCCATGAAGGACATAAGTTTCGTCAAACCCAATACCATATATCCAATGTCATACAGTTGACGACGGTTCTTCCTTGGGATTGTAGAAAGTGGTGTATTTAGGCTGGTTTAAGAAAATTGTTTGATTTGTTTGACCTCTCTTAGTAAGTAAGTCGTCCAACTCTTTAATTTTTCTGTAAAGAGCACTTTGTCGTTCATGAAGAGTTTCTCCTTTAGAAAGTTTTTCGTAGTTCAAGTATCGAAAAAAGTTTTTCGGTAAACGTGTTTGGTACCATTGTTGGGTTTCGGCAAGAAAAATGCAGTGGAAAAACAAAAATATCTTTGCCCAAAAGTAAGCAATAGGATCTGAGGTTCTTACTATAAACGAAATTACAAGGAATAATAGGGACTTACATAGCAATCTTAAAGTAAGGATGTCAGACATTTCGAGAAAACGACCCTGAGCTCTACCGGTATCCACACACACGTATCTAGATCGTCCTCAGGGAACGTGCTAGAGTTCTCTTATTTCCCTCTCACTCTCTAGGTGTTTAGATGTGAATTATATTCTTAACTCTAAACTCATGGTTCTCCTTAGCCCAATATATAAGAGGAGAAAAGAAGGAGTTTTACAGCTAATAAAATTCTCCTGGAGGCCCTAGCCCAATACCATTAGAAAATCTATTTTGAAATTAGACTAATCTGCAATCTATTTTAATGTTATTAACAACCATTAATGATCCATATCACTTAGGTGTGTGACCTGTAAGTTTATATATCGTTGGCAGTGGGCTAGAAAATTAATTCGAGCCTCACAAATCATAAGCAGTCTCTAGCAAGGTTAGGTCGTGTCTATCCAAGA